AACAGATAGGGACGCGACCCTGGCCGCCTGAGCTACTGCAGGAACTTTCCTCGTATCCTTTCCGTTTCTGCAGTATCCCCGTTAACCTTTGAGCTGTGGAAGTTTTTGATCACTACTGTCTCTGTACGGGGTGATCGTAGCTTCCACAGCTTTCCTATCCCATAGACCCACAACCCCCTACCAAGCATCCTTACTTCCTTTTCCCATCCATAGGGATATGCGACAGGGCATTATGAACAGGGGATTAAAGAGTACACTACCCCAGGAGGGTACCAGCTCCGCTGGAGAATCCCTCCCTGAGCATGATTGCTCAGGCAGCCCCGTCGTATCTGGGGGGGGCGAAATTCCCGACGGCGACGTGCTCTGCCACACGTCACGTTTTGTCTCCCCGTGCGTAGGCAGAAAGCGGACTGAGGATTGCCTTTTTGCTACACTGAATGTGTGTGGAGGTGTAGAAGGCAAGATGTTAGAAATATGTGAGATGATGAATACAAGAAAGATTGATTTGTTAGGGGTGAGCGAGACGAAAAGAAAGGGTTGTATGACTACCACGCATGGCCAATATATTGCTTACTGGTCTGGTGTTGCAAGTTCCCAGAGAGGCAGCCAGGGCGTGGGGGTCATACTATCTGAAAGGATGAATGAATGTGTGAAAGAGTATGAATGTGTGAGTCCCAGGATACTTTGGATCCGCCTTAAAGTTGGCTTGACCAAATTATTTGTCATCTGTGCGTATGCCCCGGACATGTCAAAGCCAATTGGGGTGAGGGAAGTATTCTGGGATAACTTGAGAGATGTTCTTAATGAATGTAAAGAGAATGAAAGAATAATTATGCTTGGAGATTTTAATGGATGGGTTGGAGTGGCACGCGATGGGTACGAAAGAGTATTAGGGCGATTTGGAGACGAACGAGTGAACGAGAATGGTGTATGTCTTCTGGATATATGTGTAGAAAAGGAACTTGTTGTGACCAACACAACATTTGGTCACAAGAAGATACACATGTATACATGGCAGAGGCATACAGAAAGAAGTATGATTGATTTTGTGATTGTTGATGAACGCCTGAGGACAAAAGTGAAGGATACAAGGGTTTACCGTGGCACGAATGTCGGAAGCGACCACTTCCTAGTAATTACCAGAATAGCTGGACTGACAATGAAGTGGAGACATCGGCCACGGGTGAAGTTGCCTGGAACCGAGAGAGTGAGAGTTGAACGGTTGAGAGAAGAGGAAGTTAGGGACCAGTACAGGAAATTATTAAATGAAAGGTTTAGGGAGCTAATGAAAGGTGACGAATGGAATATAGAAGAATTTTGGAAGGAATTTAAGGATGGAGTGATCGCAGTAGCTACTCAAGTATGTGGGGTAAGCAAGAAAAATAACACTGGAAGCAAGAGGAATGAATGGTGGGATGATGAAGTAAAAGAGGTGATAGAGCAAAAGAAGAAAGCATGGCTTGACTTATTAGCCTCAAAGGCAAATAGGAGAGTGCTAGAAAGTATGAAAGAAAAGTACGTAAGTCTCAAAAAGAGAGCAAAAGCGGTAGTTAGCAAGAAGAAAAATGAATGCAAGGAAAAGTTTGAAAGGAATTTTTCGCAGAACTTTCGAGCCAACGCTAAACTATTCTGGCATTTAGTTAGAAGGGCCAGAGGCAAAGTGGGGGACTCGAAAGTAAGTACGATAAGGGATATAAATGGGAGTGTCATTGGAGAAAGTAAGGATGTTTTAAAGCAGTGGAAGGAATACTTCGAGAATTTATTTGAAAGGAGTGATTTGAAAGAAGAGGAAGTAAACGATGAGAATGAAAGTGCTAATGTGGGAGAAATAAATATGGATGAAATTGTGAGTGCCATTAAAAGTTTGAAAGTAGGTAAAGCAGCGGGATGTGATAGGATAACTTCTGAAATGCTAACAGAGGGTGGAGGTGTAATTGCAAGCCTGCTGTATCTACTTTTTAATAAGTGTTGGCGGTGCGGTCGTGTCCCGGGAGACTGGGCCAAGGCCGTAATTGTGCCACTATATAAAGGAAAAGGATCACAGCAGGAGTGCAAAAATTATCGCGGTATAAGCCTCCTAAGCGTAGTAGGAAAGTTGTATGCCAAGGTATTGATCGAAAGAGTGATGGATGTAACTGAGCGTAAAATCTGGGATGTGCAAGCGGGATTTCGAAAGGGAATGGGGTGTACGGATCAAGTCTTTTCGTTACGGTGCATTTCAGAGAAAGTGTTATCAAAGCACCAAAAGGTATTTTGTGCCTTTATAGACCTAGAAAAGGCTTATGACAGAGTGGTGAGGGATGAACTGTGGTCAACTCTGTCCATGTATGGGGTGGATAGCCACCTGATTCGGGCACTTAAATCCTTATATAAGGACTCGAGTGCCTGTGTCAGAATAAATGGGGACTACACGGAGTGGTTTGACATTAATCGCGGTGTTAGGCAAGGCTGTGTAGCATCTCCTTGGCTGTTCAACCTATTTATGGACAGTTGTTTGAACGACCTGAAAGTAGGAGAGCCTGGATTAAGGATGAATGACACAGTGATTAAAACATTGTTGTATGCCGACGACCAGGTGCTTGTTGCCTCGTCGGCCCAAGAATTACAACAAATGGTCACTGCTATGAGTGATGCATTTGAAAGGAAAGGTATGAAAATAAATGTGAACAAGACGAAAGTGTTGGTGATAGAAAGAAATGAGGTGGTAACAGAATGTCAGATAATGATAGGTGATGAAAAATTGGAACAAGTGAATGAATTTGTGTATCTGGGATCACTATTTACGAGAGATGGAAAGTGTGACGGGGATATTGAAAGGAGAGTGAAAGCGGGAAATAGTGTTAATGGTGCTTTACACTCTGTAATGTCGAGTAAAATAATATCCAGCAAAGCTCGACTTGCTGTAATGCAGTGTGTATTGACACCAACGCTTATGTATGGTAGTGAATCATGGGTGTGGCAGAAGAAGCATGAAAGCAGGATTAATGCGGTGGAAATGAGAGCCCTGAGAAGTATGTGTGGACTAAAATTGAGTGATCGAGTGAAAAATAGTGTTATTAGAGAGAGGTGTGGATTGAAAGACGATGTAGTGACAAGGATTGAAAAGGGAATGTTACGCTGGTTTGGACATGTAGAAAGGATGGATGAAAGTAGAGTAACGAAAGAAGTATACAGAGCGGATATGAATGGAGCCGTCGGTAGAGGGCGCCCTAGACGGACATATAGTGACCAGATTGGCGATATATTAAAGAAGGGCCAAATTAAAAGTACCCTTAACCGACGAGCATGCATGAAAAGATTGATGACTGTTAATGAAGCGAAAGAGGTATGTAAGAATCGTAGTAATTGGCGTTCCTTAGTCTCTGCCTACCCCCATGGGGGACAGGCGTGAAGTTATGTATGTGTATGTATGTAAGTAGTCTATCTAATTATTGATGGTAGTATAGATATCTAATAAGGTAAAAGAGTGTGTAGGGACATCCCTATCGAATTCTTCTGCATTGGTCTTTTTCCTATTACGAAGGGGACAAGGCCTTTTTATCTGAAGTCAGTAAATTATCTGTGCTTTAGTGATAATATTTGATACTAGAACTTCAAATTAGAGTTTTAAATGTGAATTTTAATTTTTATTCTGTTCATAATTAGGTACACAGTGCTGCGTATTTCTAAAACCATAGTGACAAATAAATTATTATCTTAGAATAATTAACATTTCTTTTCAAAAATTACGTGTTTTAGTTTGAGGTATATTTTGATTCTTAGATTTGAAATATTCGTGAATATAGATAATGGTACATTTTTGTTGCGTAATTAAAGGTAATTCAACGAAACTCATTTAGAAGTTGAGTATTTTAATTCTGAAATGACATTAATTAATTTTTAAATTTCTGGACAATGAGCCATTGAAACAAAACACAGTGTAACTGCTTTGCGGGACTTCATGTGGTCCATAAATTTTTGTTCGGGTCTAGATATTGTGTGTTTGTAAATGTAACCACGACACGAAAGTTTTATATAAATCATCAAATGTCTTATTGTTCATACGAATTTGAATAAAGCTGCTACCTATTATACTAGGGTTCATAAAACTAAGCTTGGGGTTAGAACAATTTGTGCATTCATCTCATTGGCATTGTTTTAAACAGTCATTACGATTTTTACCTTTTTGGTCACCCTATGTACTAAAACAATAGTAAGTGCTTTGATTATAAACGTATTGAACGTATTTAAATAATTAAATAGAATTTAATGTATAGTATTGCTTATTGTAGAACAAATAGTTTAATTCTTATGCGAACAGAAAAATATAGAATTACACTTCCTAAGAATAAATGTAAGTATTTGTAGTTGTATGAAAGAAAACCATTAGCCTTTTTCCTGGGAAGATTAAAAAAAATCCGCTAGGGGCAGCACCGGTGGGGGGGTACATATGTTTTGAATTCTCTATTGACAACAACGTCAAACGTGTAGAATTAAAATGGAATTAACTGAAGATGATGTACCTTTGACGTACGTTTGACGTTGTTGTCAATAAAGAATTCAAAACATATGTACCCCCCCACCGGTGCTGCCCCTAGCGGATTTTTTTTAATCTTCCCAGGAAAAAGGCTAATTAGAATTTCTGATCCTAACATTCCATCTAATCTTCCTTATCGGAACTCGAGGCAGAGATAATGCGTATGTTTTAAAAATGTAAAAACGAAAGAAAACAAACCAAACGCCTAGGACCAAATCCTTTATTAGTACCACAATCTTATAGATGGCGACAAAAATAGTCAACATGGCAAATTCTACAGATGTTTCGTTGTTGTCATAGGATCTACGGTTGTTGTAGACTAAACTGTTATCTAAGCAATTTTCCCTTGTTATGTCAGAGTGAACGTTGAGTGAGCTGACTGCGTTGGCACGTCATGGTGGCCCCGTCGCGGGTGACAGGCCGAGCGGCCAACCAAGTCACCTAAAGCAGCCAGGCTCACCACTGCGCCGCCGCTGTCAACACCATGCCTGCGCCGCTCCTCATATACGTCACCTGCTTCACCTTTCTCTGGATATGTGGTACGTACCTCTTTTGCTTCCAACAATAGAAGTTACGTTCAGAACAATAGGTCTTTTATTTCCAGTTTCGCTATTAGACAACTTCTTATCACGAACTATTTACCGCTACCCGGTACATACTTTAAGACATACTATACTAGGGATCAGGGTATACAAAAACTATAAGTAGGTACATTGTCACATTTTCCATTAAGTTCATGCGCAAAACACATATTTCAGAAGAGTTTTTAAGTAAGTCTGTTCCTATTTTTTGTAATAGCAAAAGCGGATGATCCATTGCCGGTGTTCGGGGGCGCGCGGCCGGCTAACGGTACCGCGGAGCCCCCCGACCTGCGATCCCCCATGGGCCGAGTCCCGCAATATCAACCACCTGGCTTGGGACCTGGGGGCTTGGCCCCACCGCAGAGCTTTTGGCCTCACAATCCGCATACTCGCGTCGAGTCTTGGCACCGTAAGTTAAATTATAACAACAAAATAACCGTCGTGGTTAAAAGACCTTCTATTGCCTGCTTTTCAAACGTAAAGTTGTTCAAGAAGGTTCGAAACCTGGCCAATGAGGCCTTTGCCCAACATTGGTACTGCTACGGTATTGTACTATCATTTTCTACTACTTGCTGTATCATTACGATACATGATTTTAATAAGGATGGTTTCATATATCGCCACGCCTTATATTCGTCGAAAGGATATTATTTTTCATTTCAGTGTTATTTATATGACTTGGAACTAACAACGTTCTGGTATTCACAGACCGTCCCATATTCACCCGTATACACACTGTATCTCACGACACCGGTGACATGGAAGGCCACCACCATGGGGACGTCGACGCAGACTGCCACCAGCCTTGTGCTAAACAACAATTCTCTTGCCAGGTAAAAAGAAAGCAATGTTGTCTCGGACTCATTGATTACTGTAATACTAATTATTCCGCTGAAACCAATGCCGGATTAACCACGTAGTAAGACAAGCGTTACGAGTGCTCCGAAAAAAGGGCGTCTCCTAAAATATCATCTCCTCCTTCACTTAGTGTTTAGGTCACGTCTAATCAACGGACATACTTAAACCAGCACTGGCTGGAACACATTAGGTGCTCACTTATTTCGGAACTACGCACCTAAACAAATACTCTCTTACAGAAATCGTGCACCTGTATACCGATAGAAAAGCGCTGCGACAGCAAAGTGGAGTGTGCCGACGCAGAAGATGAAAAGAATTGCACTCCAGCTTGTGATGAGAATCAAAACCGAACTCTCTGTCATAGCACCAGCGTCTGTATTAAAGTGGAGTGGCTCTGTGATGGAGACAATGACTGCGGCGACTATTCCGATGAAACCCATTGCGGTAATTTATTGTAGCATGCTATACTGTATATGGAACATCCTGTGAATATTCTATTTTTAAGCTAACCTTGTCTAAACTATGTTTGCCAATTAGTGACTAGAGAGTAACTTGTCAGCATTAATTACTTTATACCAGAATTAGAAAAGCATGATAAATTCTTTAACTGATTGATTAATGTCTTGTTTTGATGAATTTTAGGGGAAATTAAAAATACCTGAACAGAAAAGAATAAGTGTTTTTTTATACAGGTGGAACAACAAACTGTACATCGCAGCAGTTTCAATGTGCTAACGGACTGTGCATTCACAAGGACTGGGTGTGTGACGGTGACAACGACTGCCGAGACAATTCTGATGAGAACAACTGCATCAAGGGCAAGTAAGTGCATCATGTTTACAAAGTAATAACTCGTGGCATTGCGTCGTAGTTTTAATCGTCTATAATAGGTACACGATCGAAATCAATTTCATTGGCATCAGGGTTTTCTTAGCTCTGGTCGCTCCTCATTTACGACTCACGTAGGGAACCAATAGAATACCAGCGACAGTTTCGTTTCTTGTACATTTCGACACGGGCTTGGGTCATGTACCCATACCATTATAATCATGTACTGCTACTATAAACTCTATTACACTATGTGAAATAAATATTTTTCTTACGTTTTCTTCTATCTTTTGATATTTAACAACATTCAAAAGAGGTTTATATTATAGCTAAAACCGTTTGAATGAAGAAGACAAAACATCAAAACATTCAGCATTCAAAATAAATTTCATTTCATTTAAATTATAGTTAGTAGTAGTACACAAACAGAATTTTAATGCATTTCATTATAAGGATAAAAATAGGCACCGCACTCAAAGACTATGGCCGCATTACTCCTATAGGTAGACACAGGCTCGTGACCCCTACAAACATAACTTCTATACGTCTACAGTCCATGGCATCCCCTACTGACAAATGACGTCACACCGTATAACAGCCAGATTAACTGCGTCATTGGTGTTTGCACAGGGAAGGAGGGGGTGACCGATTTGATCGACTGCTAGGCTATGAAAGCTATTACTCGTACTAACTTGATTCAAAGAATGTTACGTTCGCTATATCATTGAGAGATGCTTTAAAAATAACGAAAAAATGTAAATGTTTTCTGTGAAGTTGTTAGAAGTGCTTTCATTTATATGTTTATTTTCAGCCATGACTGTGTTCGTTTGTTATATGTACTTGTACCTTTTTACCAATACCTCTCAATGAGTAGACTTACCTACTAGAAAGTGAAATAGAAAAAAGAAAAAAATAATCTGAATACGCCCCATACAACATGTGTTTCTATCTCTAGTCAGGAAATTTACAGTAACATGGATAAGTTACTGATATTGGGCGTAACGCGTTAGAGACATGGGCGTATGTTCGGGAAAAAAAGCTTTGTAATATGATCAGATTACCAAAACAACACATTAAGACGCAATAAACAAAAATTACAGCTATAAATAATCAGCCCAATTAGTTTGTTTTCTTTTGTATCAAGTGACCAGTAAGCGGAAGTGTGAACAATAAACCATCTTACCTTGTGTAAACGTCATCGGTAGATATTTAGGTGCTACCTACGTTTGGAGAGCATCCTACGTGATATATTAATAGCCTTTGATTGGCTTGCAGCCTACGCAGTTAGGTTGTTTAGAGCTCATGCACTAAGCTTGACGTTACTTGTTAATGTCAGATTTGTGACGCATGCACAGGTATTTGGTTTCCAAAAGATAATCATCTTTATGGTTTACATGTGGAACAGTCGCTGTGACTGTGAAGTTATTATGTTAGTATTACGTTTGCCAATAATGTGGACCTGTTGAAGGGTGATCGTTTCTGGTTTAACTCGTCGAGTACCGGTTTTATAGACACAATTAAAGAACAATAGGTCGCGGTCACCGGTGACCGCTTGGTGTTTGACAGTTTAAATTAAAGTTATCAGTCCTAGTTGTTCTCTCAACATATATGACTAATGGTTCTGGTAGTCTGGAACTATGAAGAATCAATGTAAGGGACAAATGTTTAGAAAAATGGCGCATTGCCCTTAGTTGGATGTGGAGGACAAATGCCAGTGACTCTACCTCTATATAAACTACAACTTCAATTTCAATATAATTCTGATTTATTATACAGTAGTCAGTGTAAAGTTACTTCCATATGTTCTAAATTATTTTAAAAAAAATGCGTACATGAAAACATTGCCAGCATAGCTAGGAATAGGGCGAGCGTGTTTGCTAGATTTGGGACTTGAGCATATGCACTTGGTGCCATTACTCGAGCGAGACCAAAAAATGTGTTTATATGACCCAATCCAGAGGTATAGCAAAACATTTCAGACATTTTTGGTATAATTATTTTGCATACTAAACACATGGAATATAAGGATAAGATTTTTGATGAAATGTAATTTTCTATTTATAACTTATTGGGAAACTGAAATCTGAGAACTAAAACGTTTTGACAATACGATTAACTGAAAACCCCAGTCCAGTCCCATAGAACCGTTTAAAAAGTTTAGGCGGGACTTTCTGGATTTTATTTTACACTGCGCGGTACGGGCTGTGGCGGTCGGTAGATCAATACGTCGGGGGCTGGAGGGGAGGGGCGCGGGGGCGCGGAGGCGGAGGCTGGAACCAGGTTTCCATGGCGACGCGCCTACGCTCCCTGCGTCCCTAGAAGGAGACTCGCCCGATATATACCAGTTCCGTGGGCGGGCTCATTATAGAACAAATTCATCGACGTGATTAACATTACTGGTACACCTACAGCAACTTAGTGACGCTAATGTTTTTGCCCTGGATTAGCTTACTTTGTTCTGTAACTATTGTTCCTGTCCGTTATCATGGTCCTATCCAGGTAATTGTTATCGCAACGGCTTATTCGTATAGTTTAATTTCGTATGTACACTGACTTCTAAGATACAGGTTTTTTCCTAGTTTAGAAGTCAGGGCCCTTTTGCTCTGGCCACAGTCATGATCCTGGAAATGTAAAAAATGTGATCTCTTTGGTAATAATAAAGATTTTTTATTTTTTATTTTATTTTAATGTGACGTATGATTTTATTTCAGTTTTAACTTTGGTCGCCATACTTGGTACTATATTATGCTGTATGAGATGATGTTAAGCATCGTAAGCATTACTGTAATTTACTTTCATACCAAAATATGATAAAACGATATTCGCAACAATTTACGATCTCCATTTTCGCCAAGCATCGCGCGCAACAAATGTGCTCGGTGCGTTGCTTGCTTGACGAAGCCTGTTCAGACTAGGTACATTTACTTTGCTACGGCACTGCACTTTTGGGTTGATTTATTGTTGCATCAGTTAATTTACGGTATAGACGACATTGGCTTACGCCATATCCCCAAAAAATGTCCATACTCTATCTACGGGAACGGAGTAATCAGTCCATATTTCTTTATGTGAAACATTGGTTCTGTATTAATATAAGCTTTAATTTACCCAGTAGTCGCTTGTTCTTCCCATAGAAATACTAGAATAAGTTATGAGTTTCATGGTACTCCATTTTGACCTTCAAAAGTGCCCTCTTTGGTTCGCTTTGCTATATTTGGTATTTCTGTACCATACTTTTTGTACGCAGGTGTCGAGAGCATCAGTTCATGTGTGCGATTGGGGAATGCATATCGAAACATTGGCGTTGTGACAAGGAAGCCGACTGTCCTGATAGCTCTGACGAAGCTGATTGTCGTAAGTCATTCCTTATTAGTATTCGTCTCTATTTAGGTCGGCTTTAATGGTTACTTAAAAACAAGACATAATTGATGCTGTGCTTAACATAACATTAATTAATGACCGATTTATGCCCACATATCACATATCTAATGTATAATCAGAATAGGACTATATATTTTCAAGATTATTAGATTCTAATACTTATTTTCGACGTATTAGAATCTAGTTTTCAACAATATCCTTTTATCCTACCAGCTGTGGATCTTTTGCGGTGTGGTGAGAATGAGTTCCAATGTGACAACAAGAGATGCATCCGTAAAGACTTCCAGTGCGATGGTGATAATGACTGTGGAGACTGGACTGACGAAGACACATGTCCTATGCTACCTGGAAGCTGTAACGCTGGGGAATTCAGGTATAATACTAATTACACTAAAAAAATTAAAATTGTAACTCCATTTTCTATTCTCATTCCGCGTATAATAGACGTATAAGTAGTGTAGGTAATAACGATAACTATTTCTGAAACAGATGCAGTGATGGCAAATGCATACCAGATCGTTGGCGGTGTGATACTGAAAGAGATTGTGCTGACAGTGGCGATGAGCTCAACTGTGAACCAAACTCTATGCGCAATTGTACTGATGATGAGTTCACGTGTGCTGATCGACGATGCATTTTGGTAAGGATCTTAAAGTGGTTTCTGGGAGGAAGAATATCTTCATGTAGCGTGTGAACCGCTGTAAATACTCTTACAAGTACTTAACTCGATTTCTTCTCCACAGAAAACTTGGCTCTGCGACGCTGTCCGAGACTGCACAAACGGTGAAGACGAAATGAACTGTGAAGTGCATTGTGAAGAAGATCAATACACTTGCAAAACTCAAGATCATCTCATTAGCAGTGCATTCAGGAGTTGTGTAAACAGGAAACACGTTTGTGATGGCATGAAGGACTGTCCAGAAGGGGATGATGAAGAGAAATGTCCAGTGAAGAGAGCATGCACTTTTGAAGATAGATGTGACCCTGACATGTGTATAACCACTTACGATGGACAATCAGCTTGTACCTGTCCTTTAGGTTTCCTGTTAGACTACGACAATCACACGTAATACATATTCTTTAAAATCAGTAACAAAAATATTCAATACTTTTTTTCAATAAACCCGTTAACTAACTACATTTTATACTTCACAGCTGCCGCGACATAGATGAATGCATGTACGAACAGGATCCAGTTTGTTCCCAAACATGCTCCAATACTGTTGGCAGCTTCAAATGTGGCTGTATGACTGGATATGTGTTGAGGCCTGATGGACGATCTTGTAAGCCTACAGGAGAATCACCCACTTTGCTGTTTTCTAATCGCGTTGGTATACGACAGGTAAAGATGATTTCATAATAGATGGGAGTTCCCTTTTGAATAAAACGATTTACTTTTATAAATATACTGAAACAAATTGTAATGATTCTAATAGGTTTGGTTAACGGGCGATAATTACATGCCAGTGGTGAAAGGTCTTCATAATGCGGTTGCTTTAGACTACCACTACGAGAAACAACTTGTCTTTTGGACTGAGAACAACCTCAGAGTCATCAGGGTAGCTCAAATGAATAACAACAACTTGACAGGTAAGAATTTAATACAGTAAAGTTAAGATGGTACCCACTCTGTTTGCGGATGTTAAATTAACTAATAATGTTTCATTTCTAGATGTTATAAGGTGGGGATTAGAAACACCTAGTGGAGTGGCTGTAGATTGGATACATGATCTGCTATTTTGGACGGATTCTGGTACGCGACGAGTGGAAGTTACGACGCTTGAAGGAAATCAAAGAGCAGTCATAGCTGCCAACGATTTGGACAAACCAAGGGCTATAGCAGTGCACCCCGGAGACGCTTTGGTGTTCTGGACTGATTGGGGTAAACCTCACAGCTTAGAGATACTTATGTAGAATAAAAAATAATGAAAAATAATTTCTAACCTATAAATACATTCTTAGGTCCCAACCCAAAGATAGAGCGTGCTGATATGGACGGCAGTAGGCGAAAGAGCATCATCGTGGATAAAATATTTTGGCCAAACGGACTGACCATTGACTATACGGAATCGAAGATATATTGGGCAGATGCCAAACACCATGTTATTGAGAAGGCTTCGTTTGATGGACGAGATCGGAAGAAGGTATTTACTTCTAATATCAAGTTATAGCTTCAATATTCTTTCTAACATAAGCTTATGGTTAAGGTTCTTGATGCTTTGAATGAATATGCATCTTCTATTTTTACTAGGTAACCAATAAAGGCCTTCCTCATCCATTTGCTCTGACGCTGTTTGAAGATGCTATCTACTGGACCGACTGGCACACCAAGAGTATTTCTACCGTCAACAAGAACACTGGCATGGGAATACAGACTGTTCATGCAGGACTTAACGTTCCAATGGATATTCATAGGTAAGTTGTAGTGGTAACTACATCGGTACTAAGGAACCATATCCTGGATATCCAATGAAGTATTTTGGAAAAATACATTAATTATTTTGAGTGTTTATTGTATCTTCATTGTACTTTGATTACTTCAACAAAATATTACTTTCCACCAGTTACCACCCACTGAGGCAGATAAAGACCTATAAGAATCGTTGCGGCACCAACAATGGAGGTTGCTCCCATTTCTGTCTTCCAAATAGCAATGATCACTCTTGTCGGTGCCCTGTTGGATTTAACTTGAACTCCGATGGGTATGTCATAAGTTACTAACAGTAAAATGATTAACGCAGAATCCATTAATTAAATGAATCTTATTTCTCAACTACTTTTTCATTACAGTCGTACTTGTGAACAAACACCAGAGAAACTGCTCTTATACGCTCGTAAGAAAGACATCAGATTGAAACAACTGAATCCCAGGAAATCAACAGATTCTTTGGACATGGTAAGTTTAAAACCGAAACATATAATTCCTATTATTACAAAGCATCTTCGGATAGGGCGTGACAAACTATGTAAATTGAGAACAAATAAAATGTTTTAAGCCATTATGCCGCATTTTAATACTTTCGACTCTATCCAGGTAATTCCAGTAGAAACCATAAAGTCAGCTGTTGCATTGGACTGGGATCACAACACCAACTCGATATTCTGGACGGACGTTGACAAGGATACCATCAACCATGCCTACTTGAATGGATCACAGCAACGCGTTATCGTGGGATCTAATTTGAGTAAGTAGAACTTTACAAGACTTTGATTATGCTTATCTTTTATTGTATCTTAATTAATCTGGCTTCGTTTCAGTTTGGCCAGCCGGTTTAGCCTACGATTGGTTAACTGATAAGCTGTACTGGACTGACGCTGGTACGAACAGGATTGAGGTAGCCAATGTTGATGGTAGCATGCGAACCTTGCTAGCGTGGGATAATATTGACAAGCCGAGGGATATCGTTGTGGATCCAAAAGGTAACATGCAAACTTTTCACATTGGGTTGGTTACACATTAAAATATTCAAGTTTTCACTTACATTATGTATAATGTGTAGGTGGCGTAATGTACTGGTCAGATTGGGGTACTAATCCGTGCATTGAACGTGCTGACATGGACGGTGGAAATCGACGGCGACTAATTTTTGGTAACATGACCTGGCCTAACGGACTCGCACTGGATCTCAAGAACAGCCGCATTTACTGGACCGATGGAGGAAATCAGACTATCGAGTATGCCAACTTGGATGGTACAGGAAGAACAGTATTGATTGGTAAGATTTTTTAGTGTTGTACAAAAAAAAATACACGACTACGTAATACCAGATGTTAATAATAAATGAATGTTTTATTTAGGCCAACAACAACTGCCACACCCATTCGGTCTGGATCTATTCGGAGACGAGGTCTTTTGGACAGATTGGGATACACAATCAATTCAAGCAGCCAACAAGTACACTGGAAAGAACCGTCGTACACTTGGCGCTGGTGTGGCTGGTCTGATGGACGTCCGAGTTTTCCACAAAGAGCGAGTTTCTGGAGCGAATAGGTAAATTGCGAATTACTTTTATCAATAAATAAGATGTATTAAAGTAATTAATTTTCTTTAAACCTTCTAAAACAAAGCTTATCTAACTAAAATTTTCTGCTGCCAACACAGATGCGGTAAAAACAACGGTGGATGCTCTCATTTGTGCTTATTGAAGCCCATGGGAAGATCATGTGCATGTCCTATTGGAATCAAAATTGGCGTAAGTCTTCTACTCATTTCAGTTTAGGGAACTATTACTATAATTTTAATTGACACTTTTAATGATGTGTGTTCATTTACAATTAACAGAAGGATGGCAAGACGTGTGCAAATGGTCCAGTGAACTACTTGATATTTGCGCATCGTGTGGATATCCGAGTAGTATCGCTAGATGTGCCATATCTAATCGACGTCCCATTACCGCTACCAGTGCTCAAGAATGCCTTTGGAGTTGATGTAGATCACAAAACAAGTAAGTTTAAACTCAATCAAAAATCATCTTTACGGTACCTGCTCATGGTATAATTTCTACTTATGGCAAAAGAAAAAGTTTGCACCAATATTAATGAAAACTGCACTGCAGGTCTGATCTACTGGACGGATACTGGTGAAAGGAAGATACAACGAGCTAACAGATCTGGCAAAGACATTGAGACTATCATAGGTAAAGGTTTACATACGGTTGATGGAATCGTAATTGACTCTACTGGTCGTAAGGTTTGTACTGATATTTCTCATAATTTTAATCAAACTACATTGTTTTATATTTTTTTGACATGGTTCTACAAGATATTTTTGGTTACAGATCTATTGGACAGATGGTGGCAGGAATAGTGTTGAAGTCGCTGAACTTGATGGTTCCAACCGCAAAGTTCTTGTGTGGACTGGTTTAGGTAAAGGAAATGTTCACGATATTTTACGTAAAATGTTTCATTTGTGGGACTATTAACATAACAATTTATTTTGCAGATTCTCCTCGCGCTATTGCTTTGCACTATGAGTACGGATACATGTTCTGGTCGGATTGGGGCACATCTGCCAAGATCGAAAGAGCTGATATGGACGGCACGAACAGGTAACTGAATATGAAATTCAGAAAACAAACGTTAATATTTTACTATAACCAAAACTAATTGAGTATATTTCTCAGGCGAGTCATCGTGGAGAACAACATCAAATGGCCGAATGGTCTGGCTATCGATAAAATCGAGGGTCGTCTCTACTGGAATGATGCTAAAGTTCTCTCTATCGAAAGTTCTGATTTCAACGGTAACGATCGTCGCATCATTCTCAGTAATGTTCCATATCCTTATGGCATTGTTATTGTGGGACAACACGTGTACTGGACTGATTGGAGGACACAAGCCTTGCATAGAGCGGACAAGAACAGCGGAAAGAATTCTATCATTATCAGAAAGAACTTGGAGGGACTGATGGATATTCGTGCTGTTCAGGTAAGTTGATAGAAAAGTATAAAAGATACATGAAATAGTAACTTTCATCACCCTAGTAACACACATTTTGCTTAAACAGGGTGAACGAGAATTAGAAAATGTTTGTGGTAACAACAACGGTGGTTGCTCTCATCTATGCCTACGATCACCATCAGGCTACACATGTGCATGCCCAACTGGTTTACTCTTCAACTCCACCGAACCGAATCCGAAGACTTGCAGAAGATACCCCGAAAGTTTCCTGTTCTTTGCTACGAAGACCAGTATTGCTCTTATCTCGTTCGATACTCCTGAACAATGGGACGTCGCTTTACCAATAAAGGTGCAAAACGCTGTAGCTGTGGACTTCCACTGGGACAATAAACTGTTGTTCTACACTGATGTCGATATGGATGTTATCAGGTACGAAGAAAGATCTTATCTTTTAACTAGTTTGTTTTCTAGTATGAAAAAGAAAAAGCTTACTTATGTCACAACTGTTGCAGATCAATAAATATGATGAACATGAGTGATACGAAGGATGTGATCAAAGGCAACATGGGTATTCCAAACGGACTAGGCGTAGACTGGATTGCGAACAATATCTACTGGACTGACAACGAATATAAAGTAAGTCGATACTACATAAGGACATAGAACTCTTCTTAATGATGAGGAGCACTTTTTAACCCGTTTTATTGTCCTACAGGTTATAGAAGTTGCACGATTGGATGGCTCCTCGAGAAAAACTCTACTTAGCAATTTGAGTGAACCTAGGGCACTGGCGTTGTTTCCAGCTAAAGGGTGAGTAGATACTAATAAAAGATGCAAAATGTACAATTACTAAGTCATGAGCGAGTTAATCAAACTTACATATTCACAGGTACCTTTACTGGAGCGATTGGGGTCAAACTCCATGTATTGAGCGAGCCTTCCTAGACGGTAGCGAACGTAAAGTGATCGTGATTCAAGATGTAGGTTTCCCTAACGGAATAACTATCGATTACAAGGAGAGGAGGCTGTACTGGACTGATGCTTTGAGACATAGAATCGATACATCTGACTTAAATGGGCAACATCGAGTGCAGCTCATTCCAGAAGCTAAAAATCCTTTCGGAATGACTCAGGTATTTCTTTAAGTTCTTTACCAGATCAAAAAAAAACCTTTCTCATACTTCCATGTCTGAAACATTATTTTTCATTGTAGTTCAACGACTACATCTATTGGACGGACTGGTACAAGAAAGCAGTAATGAGAGCGGATAAGAAAACTGGTAAGAACGTGACAGCTTTGAGAACCGACCTGGAGATGACGATGGAGATAAAAGCAGTATCGTCTGAGAAGCAACATGGCTGGAACCCTTGCAAGGAAGATAATGGGGGCTGCTCTCATCTTTGTTTCTTTAGAGAACACGACTATATCTGTGGCTGTCCTGATGAAGTTGATCCGAGGCCCTGCTCAACTGGTAAGTTGATCAGATGGTTATTTAATCCAGAAAATTAGCGAAGCTTCTCAACCAATTAAACTACATTACGTATGATGCTTTTCACAGTGCCGAAAATTCGCATCGACAACAAAATGCCGTCTCGCTACCCCTCGTTCTACGACTACACCGACATTGAAGAGGATAACGGCTTGCCTCCACCACCGACTGCAATACCAGACTCCAGCACTGGAGCTATCATCATACTGATCGCTATCATGTGCTTCATCATACTCGGCATTGTCGTTATTGCATTCGTTTGTGGTAAGTATACCGACTAAGAAATAAATTGACCACTTTCAAGGTCCTCATAAGAACCTTTACAACTTTATCCTTATGAACATTTTTGTACGCAGTTAAAATGAGCAGAGTTCGCGACGGTGATATGAAGGAGAATTATCGCGAGTCTGGTGGTCACATATCGTTCCACAATCCCAACTACAGCTGCAACACTGGCGCTAGCGGCGGCAGCGCCGAGCAGCTCGAACGTCGACCCAACCGGTTCCAAGGCATATTCAAATATGATAAAAATCAGGTAATTACAAGCGCAACATCCACCATATTCAACAAAACCTAGTCACGGAGAAACTTAAGAGATTCTTGCTTCTCCTACACATTTTTTTTTTTTTAATTTATTTACAGGGTTTTTTCTTAATAGAAAACATCACCCCGATTATTGAATACAAAAAAAAACAAAAAGAACACTTACATTTAAGTTAACCTACCCGCAACCTAGTACCCATAATAATAATATTAATAAGAATTCTGGCCTCATCCGACAATGGCGAAGCCAGAATGCTATTATAGTAGCCTACATTACAATTTCCGACTTCAAAGGCGTGACGTCTTTGATCCCCAATACGGCTGCACTCGGCAAGGATATGATACACGTCTTCGACCACTCCACAAACAGCACAATTGGGTGAGTCCACTTTACGCATCATAAAGCCGAAACTGTTAAGCGGCACATGACCGGATCGAAGCCTCAAAGCCATCACGACTTCTTGTCTACTCATGCTGCCCACGTTGAACCAAAGCATACGAGGAAGTGAGGGTTGAATAGTTTTGTACCAGATGCCTTTGGTAAGCGACCTTAAGTCGAAATATTCTGACCAACTTTGAAAGCATTTGTCTCGAACAGAGGGTAAAAGTTCGGTGTGCCAGGGTAAACAATTAAAATAAATCCCATCAGACGCAGCCTCTTTTGCCAAACGATCAACAATCTCATTACCCTCCAGTCCAACGTGAGAAGGTATCCATTGAAGAACAATGATTTTATTACTAGCCACAATTCTGCCAATGGATTTCAAAATAGAGTACGCCAGTGGAAGCCCTCTGAATGGTGAAGTGCATTTAGTAAGATGGAGAAGAGCACTTTTTGAATCAGTAAATACAACAAAACGATCACTGTCTAAAGATTCTATATAAGCCAACGCTTCTGCTATAGCTATCAATTCTAAGTGCATAATAGATAATCTGGACATAATTTTGAGTTTGACAGAAACACCTGTTTGTGGATCATAAAAGGCTGCGCCGAAGTTGTTTTCGTATCTCGAACCATCCGTGTAAATAGGGTAAAAACCGTGATATGACAAATTAAGAGATTTGATACAAAGTGATATAAGTTGATGAATATTACAACAATGCTTTGGCTTATCAATAGAATTCAAAACCGGTTTAATGATATTTGATAAGTCTATATTGCTGACCCAAGTATCCATGGCAAACATGTGAACCGTCTTGCTACAGTAAATTAGTTCTCCATTTAAAATATCGTGCGTCGAAACAAGAAGAGGTTTTTTCTTGTTTCTCCAATATGAATTATTGCATAGATGATGAAGCTTGTTCAGTATATTAAGTAGGGGATAATTATAACACTTAGATTTTATATAAAATTTACTAGCTATATATTGGCGGCGAATAAAAAGGGGGGGTAATAACAACTCGGATTCCATAACGTGTATCGGCGTACTTTTGATGAACCCACCTATCAAACGTAAACAAATGTTTTGTATTCTATCTAATTTTGACAAGTGTGTATTAGCACTATTACCAAATAAGAAGCTACCAAAGTCAATACGACTACGAATAAGGGATATGTACAGCCGTCTTAAGTGTTTTGGATGAACGCCCCATCCGGGGCCCACCAGAACCTTAAAAATATTGACTAGCTTTAGGACTCGTTCACATACCTCATTAACGTGTTTTTTCCACCGAAGACCTCTGTCTAGCCATAAACCTAAATATTTAACATTGTCGACTAACTGTAATGATGCGCCATTTAATCGTATATTAACAATAGGTAAACGAAAACCTCTAGTAAATAAACTTCTCCTACACATTGAAAAGAGTAACTTCATTTAAGTAACAGAAACATTTTAGTCTTAATGCAACTCAACAGCAAATCATTGAACTTTTTCTTGAGGGTTTGTCTTGTGTTCTGCATGAGTGTAACACAGAAGTTGTTACAGGAACGTGTGACGAACGTGTACATCCCGGAGGGCACGAGCTTGCTGCCGCCGCCGCCGCCCCCGCCCCGCCCCGCCGCGCGCCCCGCTACACACGACGACTTCGAACCAGTCACATTGCACTCTTACGCATAGACAACGGGTGCCAACCTTTACTAAAGATATCATCTGCGAATGTTCAACGGAGCCGCGGTAGGTACTTTAAGCCAGGTTAACACCACCAGCTCAGTAGTTATTTTCTAATAACGCGTTTCCGATGGTGCGACATCGCGAACCGCGACTTTAGGAAGTACCTCCTCCAGACATTCCTATGTGAATGATCGCCAGTAGCTACGTGCGTCCGATTCTAAATAAGTATAATACTAGATATGACGTTACATGCGTCAATCCGCATACCATCAGTTTGCGTCATCAGGTTCATTGATTGGATTATGCTGTGGGATAGAATTCCTCGTAGTAATCCTACGCTGTAAATACTGTGGCTGTCGGCATTAGAGTGCTAGAACTGTGTCCATCTGATGACGAATTTATGGTATCTCGTCTCGACTTGTTCCATGTGGTTTTCACACAAACAACTGCCTTTAAGGCAACGAAACCGCACAAATATACGACTATTCCTTTGTGTAAACGCATGACAACATGCGAATGAACACAACAATCGATGATTATGATCTTATTAACTATACGTTAGGTTAGGAAAATAAATTACACAAATGAAGAGTATCAAAGCGATTTGAAATGAAGATTTTGATTTTTTATTCATCTTTCCGATATATTTGTCAATTGCAGCTTACTACGAAAGAGATCTAGGACGACTAGATTTTATAAGATCAATACGTAAGCCAACATCTACATTAGGAAGCTATTGAATAATGATTATAATACGTATCTATATCTAGATTAGATCATAGGTACTAGGTGGTACATATGTAAAGAAACAATATCTCATGGTAACCTTACAATCGTTTGATATTCCGTCAGATGCAGATCAGTCATACATAAATGTTATTGAATAGGAAGTTATTCGTAATACAATATTTATATGAAATATGATTATTGTTATAGTTTATAGGGATAGGCAAATGTTTAGATGCATAGCAAGTCTGGACGATTCCTTGTCAAGTGTAAATAGATGTATCTATTTGTAATAAAATAAAGGGTTAAAGCCGCTGGACCCCATCCAAAGGGTGTTTGTTAAATGAAACAACTACGATACCATGCTGCCAGGTCGCGTCTGCCCTGTATTCTTATACACCGAGCGTATACCACGGGCAAGATATATAGCCGCATGGTATCGAAGTCAGCAAAGAACAGATAATAAATTTATTAATATTTATTATTTTTGTACAAGTCTCATCTATCGGTCGTCGCCTGCGGCTCACAGGGAAGATCGATAGCGACTTTTATACTGTAAGATATGTCCCGGGGTTGAGGTTCACGTCCTTGTTACTTATAAACAATGTCCAAACTAGTTAATGTCTACTATATTACGTACACGTTTTATTTAATTTACTTTTATAGTGCGTATGTATTTCAGCCCCAATAAGCATAAGTTTATAAGTAACAGGACTCACCCGGACATTTCTGTAGAGTGGGAAATGTTTGCTATAAAATGATGTCCCGACCTCGTTTATGGGTGCAGTTAGAATGTTTGTACTAAAATAAAGAAACGTAGTAACACATCACAATTTATACTATCAACCAGTGAATCAAAATTCACTCGAAACAGATATTTATCACTTTCGATGCAATCCGATGTTAGAATAAACTCACCAGGTTTAAAATGGTGACAATAAAATATCAGTGTAAATAGTTAGTTTTAATTACCAATTATGTTGACCGACCGAAATTGTAAATGTAAATAATAGTTTATTTGTACCTTGTACGTTATATAAAATCAACTGTTTTATGTTGAATGAACGCCCGCTGCCGGGCTCGTCTCCTACAAGTTACACGTTCGTCTCATATCAGATTAATTCATTTAGTACCTAATTAGAATTAATATTATTGATTAAATTTATTTACTTATTCTCAAATAATCTGTCATCGATGATGAATCACTATTTATTCAAATGACTATATTATCTACTTATATATTTTATTATGTTTATCAATGGAATTTCAAGACATACCTAACTGGAAAATGTATAAAGTTTCACAGGGTGTTTTAAACTAAGGTAGCGTTAGGGCCCTAAAGTGGGCGCAGATACGGTGTAACTTGCATTTGCTTTAATATATTTGTTTAAAACACCAAAGCGAACAACGCCAATCTACAATTAGGGGCGGTTCGAATGCTGACAAACATTTATGTGGCCATTAAAAATGATGAAATTATTATTACTTTATATTGAAACGACGAAAAAAACTATAACGAAAGTTCCTTTTCTGAAATTATAAACTTCATTCCGATATTTTAGTGCTCAAGACTTTCAGTATTACTATTAGTATGTATGTACGTTTATTTTTATAGAATGTATAATTATTTATTAAGTATGTATACGTCTATATGTGTTGTTAAAAAATGTCCAAGACTATTCAAACAATAATATATAATAGTATGTGTAATACTTGTTATGGGTACTAACCGCATCGTGTAAACAATCCGGCCTCTTCTAAGTTACTAGATAACCGACATATAATGTGTACCTACAATAACTATGTTCGTGACTCTTACAATCCTCTTTTTCGTCGGTTAGTTTATTATTTAATAAATTTTCAATTATAATAAATGTCTAGATGGAGACGATAAATATCCATTCCAATTCTTGAACGAATTAAAGAGGCTTGGAAGAATTATTTCAAATTCTTCATACCTAATGTTTCATAATAGTTTTAAGATATATTTTATGTACATTGTTTTGTTACATAGCTTTTAAGGGATGGGAAACTAATATAGTGAGTGCTGTGATACCGAATGCTTTGAAAGTGTAGTGTGGTAATCAGCGATGGTTATATATTGTATACATTTATTATATATTACTTTATGTTATTAGACCCTGTCGTTTATTTGAACGTCATTGTAATATTTACAGAAGGGAAGTCAACAATAAATGTAATTCAAATTCCCATAATAACTACTAACGACTAGCATTTTATTGTGTAAGTATTGTAACATTTATAAAAGAAGGTATATATTATGTGCCAAATTTAAACTTACAGTATTTTAACAAGAGTGATTGGGTTCGGGAATGATTATAATTAAATTAATAGTTAATTAATTAAACAGCTTTTACACCTTTGATGCCTCCTTTTATAGAGGTGTTAAAACTGTTGTCAAATTTATTATTGTACTGACTTAAAGAATAGAAATTATCCCAATATATTCGTGTTTTATTTACTTGGACCTACCACATACCCCGCCACAAACATGCTAATGAGACAGACACATATATTTTTAGTTTCCTATTGACAAACACCAACACAGTACAAAATTCTACATAGGTAACATATTATTATAAATAGTTATTACAGAAAGTTCTGATAATGCAACAACTACTTTTTTTACCTAGGGATTGAAACGGATACTTCTGTTCCCACACAAAACTATACATATAAATAAAAATACAAAAAGAATAAAATACATGTACTAGTTTATTTCATATGAACCGTACAATTACATACATACTCGTCGTTACACTTAGTCAACAACATGAAGATAACACTTAGTACATAGATATATTAGATATAGACAATACAATAGTGTTCACAGATAATGAAACCTGTCTCTCTGACGTCACACAATGGGAAGGGTGAGTCACAAAAGGTGACAAGCTAGCAAACTCTTTATTAGCGATACAATGGCGTAAACTGTGACCTCAGATAAACAAAGCTTCCCATAAAAAGGTATTAAAAATAGACAGTTTCACCCATTATACCTTACACATAAGGTACATTTTCTATTGACAATTTTATATATCATAATTTATTGCAAATAAATCCAGCAGTCAGCGTGACTAATCAAGAGTAACCGCCTTAATAATTATATTCAAACTCTCAATTTGTCCACCTTAAAAATATATTTGGTAACATATTCGATTTTGTTCCGAAAATTATATTTACAAATGAATAATACCTACTCCTTGCTGTGATCAATAAATTCATAATTAGTAACTATATATAATTTCTGTCCTTTTATACATATAATCTTAATATTAGAATACTTTTATGGTCACAATAATTTATTAAGCTAATCTAAGAAAAATTCCTATGTGATCTTAGATCACACAACATATCGAAAATAATTTTAATAGACACCACGTCAGAATCAAACATGCAAAGTCTAAATTTGCGTTATATTTTAACATTTGAAAAATATATTATTTATGTTAACTATATTTATAGTAAGTGTATTATTTTTCCAACAGTATTTAGTAAGAAAATCATTAGAAAACGTATAAACGTTAGAAAAGGTGCGTTCATAACAAATGCTCGGTGCAATGCATTTCAGAAAGCAAGCACTAAGTCGACTTGAAACTTTATAATCTTTATTGTTTCTTATATACGGTAAAATGGGGTGAATAGGGATCGAGATGTGAATAGGGACAAAAGAGGGATGAATTGATACTATGAAAATTTTCCCAATATCGATTCACCCCTCTTCTGTCCCTATTCAGCTCATTTTACGGTATATATATATATATATAAAAGAAAGTCGGGTCAGTTTACACTACTTGTAACTCAAGAACAGCTATATCGATTTGGCTGAAAGTTTGTGGGGAGGTAGCTTAGAACCAGGAGACGGACATAGAATACTATTTAACCAAAGATTTCCCAAAAGTCCTACGGGAACGGGAAAATACGATATTCCGCGTACTAAGTCGCGGACAGAAGTTAGTATATACTATAATAAGTACTTAGGTCACTTGAAGAAGGAAAATTGAATGATAAATTAGGACTAGTAGTGATGGGAGGTATACAAAAATAATCACTTATCGATATGGATATTCGACAGAAACGATTAACAAATTATTAAATATACCTACATCTTTCTTAGCTTCTAACATCTAAAATAAATATTAGTCGACACACACAGATCGATGGGTGAATATCCTAGCAGTAACTACTATAAAGGAATGGTTTTAGGGCTCGTACACAAAACTGCAATGCGACGGCGCATTGCAAAACTATGCGCGCTCCCTCTACGCATCGCAAGAACTTGTGAATTGGTTCCCATCGCAGCAATTAGCATCGTAACATTTTACTTTCCGAATTCGCATTGCATAGCATCGCAGTTTTGTGTACGAACCCTTACTACATTAAAATTATGTTAAATAACCTCATTGTGAATACTTTTTATAGTCCCATCAGGACTGCACCTTATTGATGGCAATATTGCATCGAAGAAAAAATAATATAGAAATTGAAAAAAATATGGCAAATTAATGACAATATCGGGAATGTAAAAATAAATTAAAGAAACGAATGTAAATGGTATGAATTAAAAATAAATTTTTAGAAAATTTTGTTTTTCTATTTATTTAAATATCAGCAGAATTGGAGTTTCAGCGTCTATCAGGTACATATTCGTAACGATTACAGATTTGGAACATCGATAGATTTATTTTAATAGATATCTATAGTTCGATGCATGAACTTATAGTAATGCGACAACCGTGCATTCTTTGGCACAACACTATTAAAGTAACGTTCACAAAATATTAACTTGTATATATTAGGAATAAGCTATCTAATTTGAAGATGAAATGCATAACGGGTATATAAAAAATAATTTATTTTAAGCGTATAACAAAGCTAGGAAGAAAAAGAGGCCTTTTGTCTATTAAATAATAAAACAAAATAAATTCGAGATTATATTACGCTATGTATCTTTACGAGCAACGAGGTATACGAACTTAAATCTTGAGATCAATACATTTTTACTATCTAATTAACTTAATTATTAACTCGTATTTGTCCTACCTCTTTATGACATGCGTCCTTATATCGAATTATTCAAATGTATAAAAAAATCAAAATGTAGAAAGAGAGCTTCGTTTGTAAGATCGTTCCAAAAGTTTTTTTAGAATAACATTTTAATTTTGGCTGCGTTCATTTTAAAACAATTTAAGTAAGTGGCCAGCAGATTAATCTACTCCAATCCGTCAAAATTATTCATTGGATTTTCGACTTTATGTCAATATAGTAAAGTTGCAGATGTAATAGAGAAATTCGAGAGAAAAATGGTAGGTTCACCTGCTGGCCACTGTACATAAAACATGTAGTATACAGGCTTTAGAGAACATTCTCGTCAGATCAAAAAACTGGGTTGAGGATATGAATGTTAAAAACTGGGTTGAGATTTTGAATGTTAAAAACTGGGTTGACATTTAAAAAAGGTGATATCCATTATTAAAAAAGATATGTGCAGTAATTTTGAAGTATCAACATTGTAAGCTTGTTTAACATAAGGGAATGTCTCTCAAAGAGTGTTTTTATTTTTGTATAATATTCCTCCAAGTGTTCGGATATAATCCCTGTAAGATTACAACTACGTACTTTTGATATATCTATTGTCATGGCTTACCTTACCTAGTGAGTTACTGATAGCGTTTGAGCTCTGGAAATACTTCTACAAGTACCAATTCGAACAGTTCCTGTAAACAATAGACATAAATTAATAAAAATAATATAAGCAATGAGGCAGATACTTATCATCTTAACACTATTACACACTAGTAGGGAAATCACATTACAAACACCACAAACTCAAAAATTTGTGATATATAAACAATTCTTTCAAAGATTTCATTCTCTGAGCGAACGTCATAAATACAAAGTCGACACGCGGTGTCCACGTCTTCCGCACAGTTGTCGCGACAATTCACATATATCAACTACGGGCGGCGACATTTTTAGCGTCCAACATGCGTTTTTAGCTACAAAATGACACGCCAATAATTTTAGATCGCGGTGTTTGTGATACGGAGGCGTAACACGTTGGACTGTAGTGTAGGTACAATGTATTATATTATCAGTTGCGGTTTGAAAGCCCGTTGAGACGACCACTTTCGTAAAACGGTACTGGTGGCGCTCTTTACATTTTTTAACAATTAATACAACAATCTAAAAAAATATACATTGTCATTAAAATTAACGTTAATAAATTTTAGTGCTGTGAAAATAGTTTATCGATAAAAAATTGTGCGGCTCAAAAATGCCGATTGTGTTCAGTGCTGTAGCTAGTGACAGAAACATTGTGTCCAACTTCGCGTCTTGCGATGGAAACTTTACTGAAATTGCTGAACAAGTGCTGTCTAAGTTACCGGCTTGTAACAATAAGATGACATATTCACATGGCACGTACCTACTGCATTATATATCGGAAGATGATTATTTATACTTCTGTATAACAGACAAAGTAAGTTTTGAAATTCATTCATTATATTATTAATAATTCCATAACGTAAAAAAGTATATTATTTTGTGAATCTAACTCTCGAACATGCGCTGGATATACATTCGTCTAACGCGGCATCAAAAATTTATATTAAGTACTTATACATGTAATTTAAAACTCATACTATCTTAAGAACCACTTAACAAGATGCACAAAATAATTCGCATGTCATGTTTCAAATCTCGCCTTTATAGTTATACGCAGATAATAAAGCAATCATAAATGTCGTAGACATTACGTGATATTTGAATTAAATAGATACTTTCCTCGTTCATGACCGTCAAGACATAATTAATTTTGTTTATCATCAAACGCCCACGCGAAATATCATAAAAATACTCGAAGACTATTTTCGTACTTATGAAAAAACGCGATTTCAGTCATTTATTATGAATAGTTCGTCAATGTGAATTGACTTTGAATATTTACAGGGAAAGGTGTATAAAGTTTTCCTTTGGCCTTATAAAATGTACAAAGTATTATGACGTCACAAGAAAGACAACATGTCGCGTTTTAATTAAGGCCGCTTTATTAATATGTTACTTTATTCACTTTTCGGTTACGACGTTATTAGTTGTACGTAATAAAGGACAAACCCAACGTACCCAAAACATACATTGGGCATTACTCCAGATCTCATTTCTCAAAACGTAATAATTTTATGCCCGGGTATTGAACCAAGAAATCAGCCAGGCAGTAGTGGTTTAGCAATCGTGATAACAACTATCGAACCAACGAAGCAACGGCGCTTTATTCATTTTCAACTTCATAAAATGTATTTGCGGGCAGCCAAAAATAAAATTTAAACTAGAAATGAATGTAGTATAAGCTTTATTTTATTTTGATAACAAAATATAATATTTTTGTCTATAGAACGAGCTACTCATGTACAAAGGAATGTGGTTATTTTCTCTTAACTTTTTCATTACAAAACTGTTCGGTTTTGTATGCGCAGTTCGATATTTTAAAGATACTGGTGATTATATTAATCCTTGCAACGTTTGTCAATGTCGTAAGTTTTCTTATATCTGGTGTGATGTCTTTTTACTTTTTAATTTGGCTATTAGTCTTACTACGTTTAATGAATTGTGATTTCATAACATCATAGCTGACAGCTGTTTATGTCTGTAAGGCTTCTCTTTTGGACCAAAACAAATAGCTAAAAGCAGGAGTGCGTTCATTTATATTTAGGGAAACCTTGATGCAAAATACGAGAAGCAAAACATTCCCAATGTAGTGACCTTTTTTTTTTTTTTTAGTGACCTAAGTTCCCATTGTATGTGGCAAATGCTACCCTAAAGCACTAAGTTCCCATTGTATGTGGCAAATGCTACCCTAAAGCATAGTATAAAGAACATACTATGCCTAAAGCAATAGGTCTTTATTCAACACTAAACATATATTAAAATGATTGACTGTTATTTTCGGCATTTGATTTTGTTTCAGCATTTCTTCTCAGAGTAGTCAGTCAGTTAATGACGGCCTCATCTAGTATTTATAAGAGAAATTGACGAGTAAAATCGCTGTTTTGTTGCCTCAAAAATAAAATCACTTGTTTAAAACTCTGTGCAATTTTACAAGACCAATTTCAATTACCAACGAATCACTTTAAATTAAATTTTAACGTAAACTAATAAGCATAACATTAATTATCAGGGACGCTAGTCGAACTTGTTGCCAAGTGTTTGTAATTATCTTGTCATTTGTCAGCCGTGTAGTAATACGGTAATGTTGATCTCGGACAGCTGTCGATTATAGGTGCTGTGAAGCAAAGCTTTGGGTAGTCATATTACTGAACTTTGTTGTCAAGGCTGACAGTTACGAAAGATTGAAAATAAATAAATTAAAACATATTTAATGAGGATAAACATTCAGTATTCTGTGATTAAAAGTAGTAATGTAAAGTAAGTAAAGAAAGTAAAAAACAATCATTCAAACAAATATTAATTTACGATACTACTTATAAGGTAATAACCGACAACAATTTGAAACATCTAAGTCTCCATATTGGCGTTTCATGTAGGGGTCGACAAACTTTTATTCTCACCTATTCAGGCTTGAGATGTCAACCTGTGCCAAAGCACCAAAAGAGCACTAACAAAAGTTATAAATACAGAAATACAGTCCATCCAAAGCCATAATGATAATAAACCAAGGAATTCTCACCAATAAAAAATAGCATAACATAAAATCACGCCTTTTATACCTTTTATCCCCGAAGGGGTAGGCAAAGGTGCACATTACGGCACTTATTGCCACTGTACAATGCATGTATAATGTAATAAAAAATCTTCTATTATTTATCAGCTATGTCAACGGTCCAGGGCATTCTTATTCCTGAACGAGATACAAAGGCAGTTCATAGCAAGCAGGCGAAGTAAAGATGACTTCACGACGGTGTTAGCAGCTGAAATGTATCGATACAGTGAGGACTACAACACCATTGTTATCAGAAAAGGCGAACTGGATGAACTAAATAGTATTGGTGTCGGATGCAGTGGTAAGGGACATTTTAATACTTATAATTAGAACACTGTGTTTAGATCTACGAGTAAAAAATGTAATCCCGGCGCTCTATCTTTTAAACGACTTTTTGGTTGAAATTGTAATTGAAAATCTACAAGTGTATTTCTGACCTTTTGGGAGCGGAATAGATTAATTTTAGAGTAAAAAACTTACGTAAAATAGCTCTACTTAATTCTAATTTTTTCTTTGCAGAAAGTATTCTGGGCGAGAAGATCCTGTATATCAACAATCCACATATAATTTCATACAGTGTAAGTTATACTTTTAATAGTCCACTATTTTGTTATTAACTATATTTTGTTTTGTAAGCCCACTAGGGTTTATACTCCTATTACTCCTATTACTAAACAGGAGTTGGCTTAAACCAATTACTAGACAAAAATGACGCGTTACCCTGCCATGGATTATTATTATTCGTGACGCTAGGTCAACTAAGTTGTCCCTAAAATCATTAATTTTAAACTATACTAATAACCAATGAATTATATTTTCAGACTATCTCTCACGTAAGCGCGACTCCAGCACTTCTATCAGTATCAGCCACGAGTTCAACTGAAGAAGAAACAAAAGAAACTCTACCTTCAGAAGTATCACACAACACACAACTGGCCAAAGAAAACAATACTTCAAGAGACATATCAACAGTCTACCCAAAACAAGAAAGTATATCAGTAATACCACCAAAGGAAAGTGTTCATAATATGTCTGCAAGACTGTACATAGTAATTGTAGGTATGATTATACTTGTAATAGCAATGTCTGTGTGTGCCTTCGGACCAATTTCCTGTGTTGTGGTCACCGGTATAGGAATATATTCGCTCTTACGATCTTACGGGTTTAGGAATAAAGTTGATTAGGTTATTTAATGTTTATGTTTAGCATTTAATTATAGGTCTAATTTTGTAATATGGAAGCACTTTTTGTTGATATTTTCGCACATTGGGTGTATTAAATGCATTTTACCATATCGGTTTTGTGTTTTTTTTTTTTATTAAAACAGTGCAATAAAAAAGTAGATAATATTTTTTTTTCAATAATAAACAGCACATGTTGTTTAATGTTTATTTTACGAACTGTGTCATTTAAAAATAATAATGGTTCAGTTTACGCTACAAATCTACGTGAGAATTTTAGTATTTAGATCAATACACGCCAAGTCTAGCTCAGTGGTGTTGCCAAATGTCCTAGATTAAGCCGCCACTTTCGACGAATACCTGCCCTGTCATAAATATAAGACATGTCTTTGTTTCTTTATTGTCTCGAACTGTGTGTCTGTAACGAAGATTAATATTCTCTGGGTGTCATATGTATGTGAATTTTTGTAAACGCACCCACGGCACAGGAGAAAATTCTTGTGTTAGGCAACGATTTTTTTAAAGAAAAACGAACTTTTAATTTGGTCCCTCTTTAATATATCGCGAATTTAGTTGATCCGTCTAGGAGCCTCTAATTATTACGGTAACGGTACGGTTGGCGAAATTGTAGGAAGTTGAAAGATGAGGCAATAAAATAAGGCCCCAAGAATGGTACGGTACACTCACATAGAACAGCTGCTTGTTGTGCGTGGTGTCCTGCAGCGTGTAGTACAGTTTGTGCGCGCCCCGCGCGGCGGCCTGCGCGCCCACCAGCGACGCCAGCGCCTCCACCACGCTCTCACTCATATACTCACATAGAACTGCAGTGCTTGTTGTGCGTGTGTCCTGCAGCGGTGTAGTACAGTTTGTGCGCGCCCCGCGCGGCGGCCTGCGCGCCCACCAGCGACGCCAGCGCCTCCACCACGCTCTCACTCATATACTCACATAGAACAGCTGCTTGTTGTGCGTGGTGTCCTGCAGCGTGTAGTACAGTTTGTGCGCGCCCCGCGCGGCGGCCTGCGCGCCCACCAGCGACGCCAGCGCCTCCACCACGCTCTCACTCATATACTCACATAGAACAGCTGCTTGTTGTGCGTGGTGTCCTGCAGCGTGTAGTACAGTTTGTGCGCGCCCCGCGCGGCGGCCTGCGCGCCCACCAGCGACGCCAGCGCCTCCACCACGCTCTCACTCATATACTCACATAGAACAGCTGCTTGTTGTGCGTGGTGTCCTGCAGCGTGTAGTACAGTTTGTGCGCGCCCCGCGCGGCGGCCTGCGCGCCCACCAGCGACGCCAGCGCCTCCACCACGCTCTCACTCATATACTCACATAGAACAGCTGCTTGTTGTGCGTGGTGTCCTGCAGCGTGTAGTACAGTTTGTGCGCGCCCCGCGCGGCGGCCTGCGCGCCCACCAGCGACGCCAGCGCCTCCACCACGCTCTCACTCATATACTCACATAGAACAGCTGCTTGTTGTGCGTGGTGTCCTGCAGCGTGTAGTACAGTTTGTGCGCGCCCCGCGCGGCGGCCTGCGCGCCCACCAGCGACGCCAGCGCCTCCACCACGCTCTCACTCATATACTCACATAGAACAGCTGCTTGTTGTGCGTGGTGTCCTGCAGCGTGTAGTACAGTTTGTGCGCGCCCCGCGCGGCGGCCTGCGCGCCCACCAGCGACGCCAGCGCCTCCACCACGCTCTCACTCATATACTCACATAGAACAGCTGCTTGTTGTGCGTGGTGTCCTGCAGCGTGTAGTACAGTTTGTGCGCGCCCCGCGCGGCGGCCTGCGCGCCCACCAGCGACGCCAGCGCCTCCACCACGCTCTCACTCATATACTCACATAGAACAGCTGCTTGTTGTGCGTGGTGTCCTGCAGCGTGTAGTACAGTTTGTGCGCCCCGCGCGGCGGCCTGCGCGCCCACCAGCGACGCCAGCGCCTCCACCACGCTCTCACTCATATACTCACATAGAACAGCTGCTTGTTGTGCGTGGTGTCCTGCAGCGTGTAGTACAGTTTGTGCGCGCCCCGCGCGGCGGCCTGCGCGCCCACCAGCGACGCCAGCGCCTCCACCACGCTCTCAGTCAGTTGCTGCCGCGCCAGCGTACATGTGTGCTCTGCATACAACTTACTTTTGTAACACTTTTTTTTAAATATATTTTTTTTATGGGATAAGCCGGTAAACTAGCAGACGGATCATCTGATGGTAAGCAATCAGCGTCGCCCATGGACACCTGGAATACCAGAGGCGTTACAAGTGCGTTACCGGCTTTTTGGGATTAGGAATTTGAGGATTTTTGGGGATTCAGGAATTAAGGAAAGGAAGGGGGGGGGGGGTGGTAATTGGACCTCCGGTAACCTGACTCGCATGACAAAACATAACGCAAGCGTTGTTACATAAGGTGCTATATAATTATCTGTCACGGCTTTAATGGGAGGTAGTGTTGTGTTTGAAAATTATTATATGTAGTAGGTATAAATTATTGATTATGAGACATTTCACACATGAGACATATCATACAAAATATCGACGTATTAATTTGTATTGATTTATTGGCATAAAAACATTCCGTGTTGCTGCACTGCACCGAATTCATTATATTCGCAAAACGCGGGCGCCGCCCCGTTATATACTGTTGCCATTCTTATCAAACCATCAGACTGCTCGGCGCCGACACAGGCACCGGCTAGGCGGCGAGGAGCACGCCAATGCACACCCCCGTGCACACCCCCAGCCCTCGTTGCACGCGCCGCTCGCGCGCCATTAGCCGTCAACCCCCGCCCAACCGGACGGTAGTTTCAGTGTCGGGGATAACGCGCGCTACGTAAAAATGCCTCCAAGGCGACGATATTCAAATCAACAACATCTTGAAATGGTGTAGTGCTACCGCGGGTGTAACCCCATAACTGCATATGCGGTTAATTTATACCAGCAGAGGTTCGATGTGCGAGTGAGTCATCATACCATCCTGGATGCAGTGTACCGATTCCGAAAACACGGCCACTTTGACCCGGCAGGCAGGCCTCCATTATCGGCCGAACTCAAAGAGGAAGTGTTAAGAGTTTTTGCGACCACAAGGGACGCTGCCGGAGTTTACAACGTAAGCGACAATTACGTGTGGCGTCTTTTAAATAATGCGCAAGATCAAACGCGCATTTAGGCAAGTAAAAATGAAACAGACACATTAAATAATGTGATATGACATGTTAGGAACTTTGATTATATAATGTCTAGATAGAGCGTCACCATACAATAGCAACACAAAAGACGTTCCAAAATTTCTTGCATTTGTGCGTGCGGCTTGTGGTTTAATTTAAATTAAAATAAATAAAACAATAATACGATTCTTACGCTAACTTGACAGTCCAAAGCCTGTTTTAAGTGTGATGGGAAGTTTATCATCTTATTTACGTACATCATTTTTTTGGAAGAATGCCGTAACTGGTAAGTAATTGCATTTTTAGAACATTTGTTAGCCTGCCTATTGAGTATCTAGTAGATTAGATCGTGACGAACTAGTCAGCTGATTGACCGTTTTCATTCTCAGTACACGTGGAAAGAGATAGCAATTATTTTCATTGACTAAGCGACGCATCGCGCGTAATTTGTGAACCACATTATGCAGAGTAGAGGAGAGGAGAGTGCAATGTTTACTTAATTTCTTTTTCCTATCAAATTGAATTAGCTGGTCCGAATTATGAAATTTCTTCAATATTGAAATCTGTAAACACAAACACTACCTCCCATTAAAGCCGCGGCAGATAATTATATATTTAATGGGCCGACGTTTGACCACTATCTCGCCTGAAGGTAAGCCATGATGCGGTCTACGATGGACCACGTTGTCCCATAAGCAACCTATTAAATATTTTCGTTAAATTACGGTCAAATTAATAACTGATTTCATGAATTCACGTAAACCATTCGAGAATTGCTCTACCAGTTTCAAGGCACACCGGGACTTTTAGTCATCATGAGCAGAGTTGGATTATGTCTCACAGCAGTCATTACATAAAAAAACGTATAATGTCAGCTGTTATACAGATTACGTAAAGCTATAGGTGTAGTAAGTACTTTATTAATTAATGTTACGAAGAAAGACAGTAATATTAGTTGACAATCGATGCAAAATCGTACAAGAATGAAACTTTACCTTTATCTTGGAAGTTTCTATTGGACGTATTCTCGGACAGGGTGCCGCCCGGCCACCACGACTTGAGAACTACACTGATGTAGTAGTGCAGCATTTGTTCAGAGAACAACCACGTCACTGTCTCTTTGATTTGCCTGAAAATTTACACCACGTTAGGAAAAGACTACCAGCCACATATCTTGTGATTTGTTTATCGTCATTCAAGCCATATTTCTCATTACTATTGAGAATTTACATACATAACCACGCCTACTACGCATACATACATAATCACGCCTGTATCCCATGTAGTATGTAAAGACTATGGAACGCCAATTGCTACGATTCTTACATACCTCTTTCGCTTCATCAACAGTCATCAGTATTTTCATGCATGCTCGTCGGTTAAGGGTACTTTTAATTTGGCCCTTCTAAATAATATAATATACTAATATATATTGCTAATCTGGTCAGTATATGTCCGTCTAGGGCGACCTCATTCATATCCGCTCTGTATACTTCTTTGTTACTCTACTTTCATCCATCCTTCCTACATATTGAGATTTTCTTATAATGAAACACTATGTATTTCCAGAAGATTAGTAGTAAAAGGTACCAGAGATCGTTATTGTCAATTAAATAATGTTACATACGTAATAAAGAAATGAATGTATGTTAGGGAACAGAGTGGAAAGTTCCCTAAGATCGGAAAAGGAGGATCCTCCGACCAGGCGAGGTGATTGTGCCTGGCGGGCTTTCTGCCCAATAGTTGTTAGTTGGGTTTTTCTATCCGTGTTTATTCGCTTGTAAACTTTGCATGTGCGATGTAGGATTCTTGTGACGTCATCCGTTGATTTGTGACATGTGTCGCCACAGTATGATCTCTTTGCTTAACTATTTGCGACCAGGGAGATCTATGGTTCTTATATGATAAACGTGATGGTACCTGTTAATAGTCCTGCCGTACGTGATCTGTACGAATGTGACGAGAGTCTTCCTGAGCCAGCGGAACACGCCGCGCATGTCGAACACTTCGCTCAGTAACGCGTACAACGGCTCCGCTATACTATCTCTTTCTTCTGCTATGGCGCCTGCTCCTATTAGAAATAGATTTATTAAAATAATTTCGAATTGATTTTTATCTCGATTAATTTCATCAATGAAGGTAGACAAAAAATATTAAAAAGCCATCTATTATGAACCTTGTACATTTACTATTGTTCACCATCGGACATAGTAGGTTTTAAGTGTGGAAGAGCCATGCTTCGGCATGAATGAGCCGGCTCGACTGGAGTGATACCACGGCTTCACAGAAAACCGACGTGAAGCAATACAATGCGTTGTTTCACGTCGTGTGAGTGATGTTACCCGAGGCTCAATTCCCTCCCCCTTCCCTCAATCTCCCCAATCCCTGAATCCCAAGAATTACCAAATTCCTAATCCCCAAAAGGCAGGTAACGCACTTGTAACGCCTCTGGTGTTCCGGGTGTCCATGGGCGACGCCGATTGCTTACCATCAGGTGATACGCCGGCTCATTTGCGGGTAGTCCCATAAAAAATTGTAGTGCTGATTAAAGGTATTTTGTAGTTGTCATTTTGCAATTTTATGCTGCATACTTCAATACATAATTATACATCAGTATCACATTATGTTATTGATTCAATAGAACATCCGCCTTTCAATTCATTTAGTAAAGTGGGCTAAAATGGAATGGTAGCTAACACTCACCACGCAATGAACTAGTCATACTCTTGCTATTGTTATCAGATCCGTTCCCGTCCAAGTAGAGCGAGATCTCGTCTTCATCAGCAGATAGATGTGTGAACTGCTCCTTCTCCTGTGAGGACCTGTTTGTCGCTTCACTGCTTGTACTGTAGACAAATTATTTCAATGTTATTAAATTATTTAAAACTTGTTTAGATGAGGGGTATGTATATCCGGTATAGGGTAGTTGTCAGCGAATGAAAATTAAAAATCTAATTAGTCCGTCAGTTAGATAATAGTATAAATAAAAAAAATTAGACAAGTATTTTTTCTATTTTCTCGTATAAAGTTACAATACTTAGATAAAATGGAGTTAAGTTTAGAAGTGGGAAGGTCGTTACGTCACAAAGTGCTACAAAATGTAGGGGACAATAAAATAAAATTTAGGCAACTACCCTATTACAGTGTCACGCACGCCTTTTATTTTTAACTCGTCGAGTACCGTATTTATAGACACAATTAAAGAACAATAGATTGCGGTCACCGGTGACCGCTTGGTGTTTGACAGTTTAAAGGGCCTGTAGGCCTGGCCTAAGGCCAGTCTTGCGAAGTGCCAGTACTTTGTGCCACTCTTTTTTTAGGCCTGTGAAACACAAAAATTGGAATGTAACCACTACTTTTCGCCAGTTATAGTATGTAATGAGCCTCATATAATAACGGTTCGATTTAGAAATTGATTTCAAAGCCCCTTACGGTTAAGGTTACTGTCTCGACTACTCAAGCTTCGGAATCCTGGATAAGTATAAGAATAGAAATTAAAATTGACTTACCTCTTAAACAACGTAGAAAAAGAGAACTTATTCTTCTTTGGTAAGTCACCCTGCTTCAGATACTCAGAGCTTGGGTTGAGGAATGTGTATAAAGCTTCGCTTTGGTTTAGTCTATCGTCTTCTAAAACAAACTGAAAACACAAATGGTATGTTTAATGCACAATACACAAGAAGACTGCATTGAATAAGATTTATTATTTATTTATGTTATCAGAACATAATATCATGCCTTTTATCCCCGAAGGGGTGGGCAGAGGTGCACATTACAGCACTTAATGCCACTGCACAATGTAATACCTACTTTTCACTACATACTTATGTTATGAGTCCCGGGTATAATTCTAGATTTCGTACTACTACTAAGATTTGTTTTTAAAAACCCAGTACTAATTTGCCCGAACCGAGAATCAAAACCGAGACCCACTTCGACTGAGTGACGACCTTGCGACCACTCGGCCAACTAGGCAGTTATCAAAACGTGAAATATAAATATCTATCGAAGTAGTAATTGTAAAATATACCAAAATACTTACTTCTAAATATTTCTGTATTAAAATCTTAGCTTTCTCTAAGGAGTTCCTATCGTTCTTTCCGAATAGAAACTTGAATGAATTCGTTGGTAGTTCTAAATTCTTCAACTCCGCACACATAGGCCGTAACTTTCGATGTAGTTCCTGTGGAAGTACAACAAACATCGGGTACACATCCTCACACACATCAACAGCCTATTAATGGCCACTGATAACCAAAGGCCTCATCAGCTCGCCCGGCTAGACCGCGGCCCACAGTGGCGCAAAGCACTCAACACGATGCTACATCGAGCCCCGATAGTGGCCCGACCACTCCAACCCCTCGCCTGCAGTCGCAGGCAGCGAACAGATACCGCTCGGACAGGCATCGGCCTGGTTCGCGCGACCTCGCGCCCCCCGTCGGGGACGGTCTCTTCTCACACGGACAAGGTCTGAGCCTAAATCACCACGCATGCTCAATACGCGTTGGCGATTGCAGACTTATAAAATTAGAAATTATACGCTTAGGTTTGCTCACGATGTTTTCCTTCACCGTTTGTCGGTGGTGTCTAAATAATTTTAAAAATATATATAACTCGTAAAAAGTCACATTGGTACTTGGTTGGTTGGCTGTTGGTAGGTTTCGAACCCGCCTTCATGCATGAGAAGCAGGCGTCTTATACGAATACTGAAACGATTTAAAATTGAGTAGCGTTTGAGTATTCCGACAATAGCCTCCGGGACACCACGACGTTTACTTATACATCACCGATATTATAGACGACAATTTGATAAACAGTAGGAAATATTCAAGATAAATATGTCACTTAAGGACAATACTAATAAAAAGGTTGTGTACCTGAAATTCGTTTAAAGTCCTAAGCAGTACCCATCCAGTGGTAATTTGTTCCGGTCTCTCTTCATCTGTCATGGACTCTTGTTCCGCCATATGTACCACTATCACAAACTGTGGTGGTTTGGACTCATCTATAATCTGTGAGATAAATAAATGTTTATAGACTTTAAAATAACCTAACGTCATGCCTTTTCATTCTAGGGAGGGTAGGAGAAAGTGTACTTATACTTATGTATATGTAACGACGTTAACTTATGTTAACGACATTGTTTATGTTTTAAAATGACTGCACGGTTGGTGCGGTGGTTCGGCAACTGGCTGCCGAGCAACGTATCGCGGGTTCGATTCCCGCGCGAAACAACTCATTGTGAGATTGTTGTTTCGGGTCTGGGTGTCATGTGTATGTGAACTTGTATGTTTGTAAACGCACCCACGACACAGGAAAAAATATTAGTGTGGGGCACCGTTTTATTAAGAAAAAAATGTGTTCTGGCTTTGCATCAACCGCTTCATTTCTCTGCACTTCCCTATGGTTGACCTTGAGAAATTCCCTTAAGGCATTAAGTCTGCCATTCACTGCAACCTATTTTTGTGAAGAAGTTAAAATTTAATAAATCCGTAAGTTACCTCAGCGCTATGGACAGAAGCCCGCCACCGACCAAGATGTTCAGCCCAGGTGTCAGTCCTGGCTAGATGGGCTTCCAACCTCATCTGTTCCCCTGCCAACTTCTCTACTTCATTCGCCAACATAGCTAGCGCAGGAGATTCGGGTTTCAATGATGCGCGAAGAGCTGCTAATGCCTGAAAAAAGAAATATTTGTATTGAAAGCAAATAATAACTAAACGCGCCTAGCTTCACTGACAGACAGACGGATGGACAATTCAATTTTTGAGGTTTCAAAGGTGTCTAATTAAGGATTATAATAAATGCTTTGACTTTAAATACGAAAAATATTTATTTCAGGGAACAGAGAGTATAGTTCCCTAAGATCGGAAAAGAAGGATCGTCCGACCAGGCGATGTGATCGTGCCTGGCGGGCTTTGCCCAACAGTTGTTCGTTGGGATTTTCTATCCGTGTTAATTTGCATGTAAACTTTTCATGTGGGATGTAGGATTTTTGTGACGTCATCCATTCAATTCCAGACTCCGTGATAATAATAATTTTTTTAAAACCCAGTAATACTTTGCCCGACCTGGGAATCGAACCCGAGACCCCTTGCCAGGCAGTCGCACTTGCGACCACTCGGCCAACGAGGCAGTCAAGGCTTCATCAGGTTTCACAACTCGGAACTAGAATCATGGGTTGATATAGGACGGAAGATTTCGTGACGAAATCAAGAGTTTGTTCTAGTTACTCTTATGTAGGCAGTATAACTGATCATAGTCTGTGTCTATATCTGGTATGCAATAATACCTACTTGTATTTTATTATTATGTCGTTCCTGCAGCTCGTCTAGTTTCCGCCTGGCGTACGTGGAATGTTCAGTGAGGTGAATAGTGCCCGCCACGCTCTCCGCTGACGATACCGATTCGTTCGACAACTGTCTGTCTTCTATTGGCGATCTGTCTGATGTTATGTCTAGAAAAAAGAAAAAAATACTTGAATTTAAGTGAAAACATAACTGTTTTATAAAATACGTTTAAAAAACCGACTTCAACTCCAAGTTACTTTGAAGTGGGTTAGTGATAGAAAACGGTTAATTTTCGATTAGACAAATCGCAGAAGCATTATTAGTAGAAGTGTGGGGGAGCCACGCTTCGGCACGAATGGGCCGGCTCGACCGGAGTGATACCACGGCCTCACAGAAAACAGACGTGAAGCAACGCTTGCGTTGTGTTTCGTCATGTGAGTGAGGTTACCGGAAGCCCAATTACCCTCCCCTTCCCTAATCACCCCAATTCCTGAATCCCCAACGATCCTCAAACTCCTAATCCCCAAAAGGCCGGTAACGCACTTGTAACGCCTCTGGTGTTCCAGGTGTCAATGGGCGACGCCGATTGCTTACCATCAGGTGATCCGTCTGCTCGTTAACCGGCCATAAAAAAAATTTAGAACGGATTTAACTTCTATTATTTTGCTAGTTAGTTTTAAGATCGACATAATTTGCGTATTTTATATTGAAGTTTACAAATAGAATAATTATCGTGAGACATACTAAAATAAAGTAAAAACGCGGGTTACTCACGTGAATATACTAAGAAAAGCTCTATTAGCTTCGACGTCGCCGCGACCGCGCACGCTGCTCATGAGGAAGAACCCCTCTGTGGTTCGAAACTAGTAGAGCTTTTCTCAGTATATTCACGTGAGTAACCCGCGTTTTTATTTAAACAAATAGAAGTCATTATTTGTCTAGAGAACTTGTTCAGTTACTTACCCTTCCCTTTATTTGCTTCCTCGGTAGCGAGTTCTGCTATCAACGCGGTATAATGATCGCTTAGAAGGAAAGAATGGTAGTACTTCTCCTGTATTGTGTCTACAACTGTGTCTTGGACTTCATAGAACACTTCTGGACCTTTATCCCCTAGTAAGAAGGCTTCCATTCTCTTTCTGGTATCCTGGAATACCAATACATAACATCACGCTTTTTATCCCCGAAGGGGTTTGCGGAAGTGCACAGTACGGCACTTACTGCCACTGTATAATGTGACACCCACTGTTCACTATTTGTGTTATAAGTCCCATGTAATAGGGGGTGAGTCTATTGCCATATACCGGGTATGATTCCAGGTTCCGTGCTACTATTGAGAATTTTTTTGAAACTTGGTAATACTTTGCCCGGCCCGGGAATCAAACCTAAAACCCCTTGCCCGGCAGTCACTGTTGCGACCACTCTGCCAACGAGGCAGTGGAATAACATGACAAAAATATTATAATTTTTAGTAATATAATGAAACTAAACTTACATAATTGCTAAAGACAAGCTTGCACTCTCATGTGCTAGGTAATTTAAAAATCCGAGCACACTAATATTACTGTGCTACAATCAGGAATGGAACCAGAAGCCTCTGTAGAGCTTATCAAATGCACGTGCTACCATCGACAGCCAACAACAAGAAGTCAAACATTGCCTATTAATTATTTATATTGAATAAACTTTACGGTATCAATTATTGAATAAAAAAACAGTAACGAACGAGTGTGGAACGTAATATAGAATCACGTTTGTACGACACTACTGGATGCAGAAAGCATGGCTCATAGAAATGTCTATTCTCAGAAAGCACGTTTCGCCGAAAACTTTATTGTTAGAAAATATTGTTCGTAGATATCTCGTTCCATAGAAAGCACTAGCCATAGAAATCTTTATTCCTAGACAGCTCGTTTTGCCGAAACCTTTGTTGGTAGAAAATACTATTCGTAGATATTCTGTTCATAGATAGAATTTTTCACCTTGATTCACAGAAAGCAAAGAAAAATTGTATTATAGACACATAACAACAATAGTATTATTACGGATTTTTCTCAGAGACAGAAAAAACAAACCAGATTTATTCATATGACAAAATTTATTTTTTTTATCTAGGATAAACAAACAAATACCTTTATTTCCATTTTGTTCAAATGCATATTCATAGTTACCTTTGCTTTCTGTGAATCAAGGTGAAAAATTTTATCTATGAACAGAATATCTACGAATAGTATTTTCTACCAACAAAGGTTTCGGCAAAACGAGCTGTCTAGGAATAAAGATTTCTATGGCTAGTGCTTTCTATGGAACGAGATATCTACGAACAATATTTTCTAACAATAAAGTTTTCGGCGAAACGTGCTTTCTGAGAATAGACATTTCTATGAGCCATGCTTTCTGCATCCAGTAGTGTCGTACAAACGTGATTCTATATTACGTTCCACACTCGTAACGAACATGAGCACAGTACCTTATCAACTTTAATCTCAGCGCTAGGCGACCTAATGTAGGTGTAAAATATTTCGGCGCCGAGCTGGTGCCAGCTACTTCTAGGGCTGTGCCTCAACTCTTCGACGGCCATCCAGAAACCGACCAGACCCTGAGAGCACATGGTCTCTAGGAACATTGATAGATACCGCCTGCCTGTTACACTCTCCATTATTTTGTGTAGAGGTAATGTCTGCAAAGAGTTTTGTAAATTATTATACATAACATAACATCACGCCTTTTATTCCCGAAGAGGTACTGCAGAGGTGCACATTACACTTAATGGCACTGTACAATGTAACACCCACTTTTCACTAATCCCATGTAACAAGGGGTGAGCCTATTGCCATATACCGGGCATAATTCCAGACTCCGTGCACTAGCACGGAGTCTGGAATTATGTACTCAGTTATGTCAGTACTAACTGAGAATGTTTTTAAACACCCAGTAGTACTTTGCCCGACCAGGGAATCGAACCCGAGACCCCTTACCCGGCAGTCGCACTTGCGACCACTCAGCCACCGAGGCAGTCATTATAATATTGTAATGAAAATCTATAAATATTTATAGTATAAGTGTAACTGATCCAAAGCTGCACCAAAATAAAAATGAACGCGCACTAAAATTACGCACATTACTTGTAGTCACAATGTTTTGTTTTTTTTTTTTAATTATTATTGTTAGGACAAGTTTTATATAAAACTTAAAACTGTATTATGTCACAAGTCAAGTTTTGTATTAAACTTAAAACTGTATTGTGTCACAAGTCAAGTTATGTTTGGAATTGATTACCATCGTTAGGTTCCTATGAAAGAAAAATTTTACAAATGCATCAGGAAAAACCGTAATTAGCACCCATACGAAACAAGGGCAGACCGCTAGTAATACATACTTTTATGTATAACTCACAGGTACTTTAGTAAACATCTATAAACGCGATCAGATGTCACAGTAAATGAGGACATGGTTACATTTGTTCAATGACATTCTATACGTAAGCAGAAGTTCATTGGAGTATGTAATTTACATAACATAGAATAAAATATGCTATAAGACGCGTTGTGCGGTCAAGAATGAGAGACTAAGTAAACAGTATTATTAGTATTATAGGATTATTGTAATTACATTAAGTAGGTATTATGAATTAGCAATATGGTTAACCTGCAACTTCAATTTTTATAAGACTAAGACTCTTCTCTTGGCTATCCGCCGTCTGTCTGTCCCTATGTATGCTTAGATCTTTAAAACTACACGTCGGATTTTGATGCGGTTTTTTTAAAACTGTCAAACACCGCGAGGACACCGGTAACCGCAACCTATTGTTCTTTACTTGTGTCTATAAACACGGTACTCAAAGGGTTAATAGATAGAGTGATTCTTAAGAAAGGTTTATATGTAAAATACATGTGTATTGCACCCGTGCGAAGCCGGGGCGGGTCGTTAGTTCATACATAAAACATTATCTAGACATACCTTGCTATCAGACTCCACAGTAGGAAACGCTCCATCCCAACCAAGTTTCCTTAGAGCCGTTTCACACTCCGCCTTCGCAATAGTCAGCTGATTAATATACCGCTTCAGTTTCTTAGCATCAGCTATTTGTTGTCTACTAACATTCTGAGAACCACTCTTTTCTATAACTTCTATATCGACGCCCTTAGCCCGTTTTACATTCTGTAGAGTCGTCGCTTGCATTATTTGTGTGACTATGTCGTATCTGCAATGAAAACTTATGTTTATTTAAACAGCGTAAATATACGATACGGTAATGAAAACATTAACGGGGAGCCTTTTTTTTGAAGGGTTAAATCATCCAATGACTTCTCCCACCCGGGTGAGGCGGGAGGGAGTGTCGGACTCTTACTGACTAAAAACCACCCCGTTCCTACTCCTGCACTTCGAGCCGGAGCCCTGGCAACCCGTTAAGTCTTCCGCGGGTCCGTAATCAACGGGGAGCCTAGACTTTAAATTATAAGGCCCTGTTTCATCACGTCTGTGTTTCGACTAGTATAACTGGCAGATAATTCCACATATTTACGGGGTCCATATAAAATATATGGCAGTAAGCTTACTGAGACTTAATCAGCATTGGTTTAAAAGGTCATTTCATATCGCCTATCCATTTTTAGCAAGTATGGTGATCGTGTTTATTATTTTTGATGAAAATGTCTTTGACCTGGAGTTGTACAGTTGGAGCCTATTTAAGTTAGATGCTATTCGAGTGAATTAAAAGTATGTTTAGATAGCATTCTTTAACAAGTACTCATGTACCAAGAATGTGGGTTGACGCTATTCGGAAACAGGTTTTAAAAACTTGAAATTTAAATTAGGTAGGTACGCATCGATTTTATTATCGAAATTAATTTAATTAACCACTATACGATAGATACATATGTGAAATGTAAGTAACTCGGTCAATCAAAAATCGTGTAGTTAGGAAAAAAGAGTTTAGAAATCTAGAACATTTCCATCGTAACTACTCAGTTCTGCAACATCAGCCTTAATAGAGCTAGGTCATTTCCTGAAATACTGAATGGAACCGGCGACCTACATAAGTTTAGTTACCCTAGATGAATAATGGCTATAAATCGACCACCAAGTACCTAATACATAGATTGGAATATCAGTATGAGACACGACACCACTGCGACTTTCATTTACAAATGACCTACTCAAAAATACTGGTTCCATTTAAGAAAAAAAAATGAATCCCGATGGGAAGCGTTAATTTATTATAATGTATGCGACAACTTGTGTCGGTTGACCTCTGATTAGTTTACGTTTACTATCGAATAAAAAAAGATTAAAGAGGTCGATGAAGTGTGTACCTAGATAAATGTTCGAGTGAGGAAGTGCGCTATAGAGATAATAGAAATTGGGATAATATATTTATGATCGTATTGTTCCCGTTCTCGGTCGTAGTTGTTTTTACTACCTACGTAATAAAAAGTATGCATATTTAATGCAAGTAGGTATTCAGAGTATACTTTTTTATAATTACGTCGTTTACGTTTGCGCTAACGCTCTCGTTAGGTCGTTCGTCGTGCCAAGCTTGTTTATAAATATGAGCCTCTAGCATGGCTTGAAATTAATCGAGTTACCCGTCAAAAAGTTAATATTTTTAATGTATGAAAATTATTAAACAATATTTACTTTTATTCCTGTAAAGGTACACGTACACATTAAAAATCCCGTCAGTTATGTGTCCTATGTAATAGTATTTTAACACCATGAGGAAAAATATGATAGTTAATTATTTATCGTTTAACTACTACTCTACAAAAATAAAACAGGATAACACTTGACACATATTTCCAATTGGCCAGTGAAAGTTAAGCCACATTATGAGTGTGCACTCACCGTAACCGTTTCAGTGTGTCGACATTATTACAGCTGTTGATCAGCCGTATGTAGTCCTCGAACGTTTTGGCATACTCGTGTGTTCTCACGTGCATCGCATCTACTTCTTTTTGGGCCTCAAGATACTGTATAATCTTTTGATTTATGTAGTCCGGTTCTGTCACTAAATCTATTGCTGGTTGTAGTACTGAAAAAATACGATAATAAATAGAAGGTACCTTCAGGCGACTCATAAGCTTTGTTGCTACAGATAGTGTTTGGTACGGTAATATTGCAGAAAAATAAATATATTGAAATAATTAAATGGATGTATGTAACTGTGTATGGTGAGCCGAGAATGGATAACGTGACAAATATGTTAGAAGCAGGGTTTTCCAAACTATAGGTCGCGACACATTCGCAAGCGAATTTTTAGTGGGCCTTATCTGTAGAAACGCTCTAACTGTTATCGATTAACTGTTTATCACCATTGGTAATGGTTTAAATCCCTGAACGTGGGTCCTGAGTTTGGGAACTTGATTTAGATGGGTACATATTACATAAAATTTCAAAAATTCTGTAAAGCACTCAAATTATACGCGCTTAACTGGACGTATTAACATCTTCCGCTTTCGTGGATTAAAGATAAGGAAACAAGTATTTTATTAATTTTCATAATTCGATGTAAGATATTACGGAGATTTTTTATTTTTACTGAAAATTTATAGCTTTATGTAATGGATCCAAGAATCTTTGTTCAAATTCGACAGATTAAAGTGCCAGACATTTAGTTATAAGGACTCTAGGTAATATGAACACAATATTCTCTCGATAAAGAGACCCAAAACTAGCTCAGGCACCTCTTATTTATAACAGAGTAGTTTAAAAAAAACAGTTTTAATGACAAATGTCAAATTGTAAATGTGCCCGGTATATGGCAATAAGCTCCCCCCCTATTACATGGGACTCATAACATAAATAGTGTAAAGTGGGTGTTACATTGTTCAGTGGCATAAAGTGCACCTCTGCCTACCCCTTCGGCGATAAAAAGTGTGATGTTATGTTATGTTTTAATGACAAATTCAAAAACTAAATCATTTCCCTACAACTCACCTTTACATGCCAGTATTTCCCTCATGAGATGGGATGCAGGAGCCAGTGAATAGCACCGAGGCATCAGGAACATGATGATGAGCTCACTGATCTGTCTCAAGTAATGCAGCTCTGTGTCATAAGACATCAAGTGAGGAGCCAGGGCAAACACTGGTGGTTGATTTAGTTCTATTCTGTAAATTTTAGGTTTTATATTTAAAATAATGGGTGTAAGAAAACTACTAAAAGGTGACCCCACTGCAAAATACTGAGCTTAACTAGGAATATAAAAATGTATTTACTATTACCATTTTCTACCTTTTCAGCCAAGATTATAATTATACATATACTCTCAACACATTTATATAGGTATTTATTTAAGCACAAATCAATTGTAAGTGAGAAACCAAATATTATTTTATAGAATGTATCTTTAAGTTGCTGATTTATTACGATTTATCTAATATCACTAGGACACACACACTTAAAATCAGTTTGTTAGTGATCTTTGTAACTTGATGAATAATAAATAAAAATTAACTTACGCACAACTCCTAGCAATCCTTATTCTTTCAAAATGTTGTGTTATCTTAGTGACCATGTCACTGGCTAGTAACTTTTCAGCATCAACTCGCAACAGTCTCTCATACAAGTTCTGCACACCCCCCCACACATGCTCCTTGAACTTATCAATCACTGGTTCAGGCTTATGGGACAACTCTTTGAGCCAACGGGCCACAAAGTCTCTCAGAACATAGTCTATTAATAATTGTAGCTGGCTGTCAACAGTGCGCCCAAATATTACAGGTAAATGAGTTTTTTTAGTTGTGTGAGGCCAATTTGATTGATCTTCCTGTTAACAAAATATTTAAAGTGAAAACTGATCCATTTAATTCTGATTACTTTAAAATTAAATTGACACCACGTACCTTCAACGTTTCCTCTATCTGTCGAACATCTTTTTCAACTTTATCTAATAAAAACAACGATGTTTGGTGCGGAGAAGATAACGCAACATGACCCCAAAGCGTTAACGCAAAAACTGCTATCACTATGAATAAACTAAGACACAATAAATAGAACAGGCACCAGATAAATGGAAAATACCACACCAAAGATAGACATAAGGGTGCTACACAAACTGAGATCCACCTATACATCTTTTTCGCTCAAATTAGCCAAACATTATTTTTGCGAAAATGTAAACAACTATGAACGATTCTAATACGCATTCAGAAAACTGTGTAAAGCATTAGATATTTGCTGTTGTGTCACACTGTCTTTAGTACATGGTTTTTTGTCGTAAGGTTCTGTATTGAAACAAGATTTTAATAGATTTTTTCTATAAAACAAGCTTTGGACTCCTTTCGTCCATTAATCTCCCTTTGGTTCATTAAAATACGCGAGTTGTCATTTTTTATATTTACTTTTCATAGAAACTAAAATGAGATGCAAGGTACAATAATCACATATGACTTACTTAAGTAAGAAAGAGACAAATATATTCTCACAACTATTACAAAAATTAACAGTTGTTATGTCATTTTGACTTTGACATTAGTCGACTAGAGCTACGAAACTTGTAGTTTGCTTGTAGGACCTAATCTTTTTAGTCGATTAGTTAGTAGCTTCATCCAAAATGACGTAATGGATAGACATAAGAATGTCATTGTCAAGTTTCAAACGCAAACGTCATAACTCGTAATAAATAATAAAAAGTTCGCTTTGCTGTCGAACATTACTGGAAGTTTTAATAAAACAAAATATTATTATATAAAGTAATTCACGGTTTAAAACTCTATAAAAATTATTGTAAATTTTAAAACTGAACGTAACTTTTTCAAGTCATCGGCTCATCAGTTCAATACTCAAAGTCAATGTTGTGTAATTTAAAATAAGTTGATAATTGTCTTGAATTTCTGTGTATACTTATGTTTTTACAATGGCTGTAACAGAAGTTACGTACCTGGTTGTTGGTGGAGGAATTGCCGGTGTAACTTGCGTGGAAACTTTAGCAATTCTGCACCCTGAGGAGACACTTGCCATTATAACTGCTTCTTCTTTGGTAAAGAATGTTAGCAATGTGAGTTTCTTTGCTAAGACCATTGTAAAGTTTGATGTAAATGAAACAGAAGCAAGCTCTTTGATGAGAATTCATCCAAACCTTAAAATTGTCTTTGATTCTCTGAAACATGTGGATACACACAATCAAATTGCCTACACTTATGCTGGTGATGAAATTAAATATAAAGTTATGTGTATTTGTACTGGTGGAGTACCTAAACTGATAAGAGACTCTGATAAAAGTAAGAGGATACTTGGAATCAGAGATACTGAGTCAGTAAAAGAATTTCAGGAAAAGCTAAAAACAGGCCGGAGGATGGTTGTAGTTGGCAATGGTGGTATAGCATCTGAGATAGTACACGCTACATCTGGCATACAAAAAGTATGGGTAATTAGAGATGACTACATATCAGCTACATTTATAGATCCTGGAGCAGCAGAGTTCTTCCAAAACACATTTAAAAATAGAGAGTCACAGCCTAATCAAAAGACTGTTATCAGAAGACATGTATTTACTGAAGAAGATCAAGTGGTTTCTTTAAATAAAGATCTTAAGTCTGCAGCATTAGGGCCAGATTGGTACAAAAAACTAGAAGGAATTAAAGATGACAAGGGTGTACAAGAACTTGAGATTGTATACAAAGTTGAGATAAGTTCTGTTGAAGAGAAAAGTGATAAAGAGTTTCCACTTGAAGTTGTGCTTTCAAATGGTAGAAGTATTGAGTGTGATTTTGTTATTTCTGCAACTGGTGTTGAACCTGCTGTAAACTTCTCATGGGATAAAGAACCTGTGAAAGGTCCAGAAGGTGGTTTGGCTGTAAATGAGTTCCAAGAGACATCAATAAAGAATGTTTTTGCTGCAGGTGATGTTGCACATGCAGCATGGGAGCATGCTGCTCATTGGTTCCAGCTCAGGCTATGGACTCAAGCTAGACAAATGGGAGGAATGGCTGCTAAAGCAATGCATGGTAGAGTTGTCAATGAAGAAGTCTTGCAAGATTTCTGCTTTGAACTATTTACACACTGCACCACTTTATTCGGATATCAGGTTATTTTATTAGGGAAGTATAATGCCCAAGGATTAGGGAATGATTATGAGATATTGCTTCGAATGACTCCTAATCATGAATATATTAAGCTAGTCCTACAAAATGGAAAGATGCAGGGAGCTATTCTTATTGGAGAAACAGACTTAGAAGAAATGTGTGAGAATTTAATCCTAGACCAGTTGGATTTGACACCTCTTGTAGATGATATTTTGAATCCAGATATTGATATTGACGACTATTTTGATTAAGGAGAACTGTGATTATTAGCTGTTATAACCATATAAATGTTACTAATATTATTATTATTTTTTATTTATACAGTTATGTAAATAAATACTTGATTTATAATGTCTTTCTTTCTTTTCCTCTTGATACTAAATAGAACTGATGTAGTGTCAGTATTTTACATGGAGAGAATGTGCTATAACACTGCTGAAGGTATCATCACAATCTTTCATTGATGATTGGATACACTAAATTATAGGAACCCGATACATAAATAAAGATTTTTTGACTCCCTTGAGCTGTAAATACTGTCGTAAATGTTATTCTATCCTTTTAGTGTATATGTAAGCTGTAATTGACCAGCTTAGTAGACTTATTCATATAAACACCCAGGAACCGAACCCGCACTAATAATTAGGATTCGGTAGCTGTAGTGTTGTTCTATATAAAAAATAAATAAATTAGCATATCATTCGATCAATTTAGTACGAGTTTTTTTTCGGCATAAATCGATACTCATAATTCAAAAATTGACTCAATTTATTCGTTTCCTTCATTACTATTGTCAAAGAGTTTAGTAATGGACCATCGTAAATCAATGTTGCATTTTCATCAAAGTTCCCACGGACTAGGTACTAACATCACCCATTTAAATGATTTAATACCTCAACTTTTGAATGTGTATTTGACTTGTAACAAACGAGAATTTAAATTAGATTGCCTATTTGTTAATTTATGGTCGATTGGGAATTATTTTATATTTTGTATTTCATAATTGACTGCAAACCATACCGAAAGTCGTTTAAAACCTTTTTTAAATCTGTATTTGAATCGATATTCGTTATCAGAAATTATAATCGAACTCGAATCGCAACACTATCATCGTCAAATGATCGAGTGAGTCGAGTCGTCAAAAATTATTTACAGATTTGACGTGTTCCGTGAATTGTACACTACCCCTATACTTATTATACTCTTTGTTGTACACTGCGTGCATTGTTTTTCTCGATTTATTACTTGCTTTAGATTTAAAACTAAAGCTTAATTTCAATACATTCAGTTGAAACGTTTTTAACCGCGTAAGCAACAATAATATTCATCGATAATCAAATAAGTGTATCGTTTTGTGTGTGAAAGTTAATTTATCGGGTCGTTTTATCCTTTGTTTCTATTAATCCACCGACGTAGTATAGTTGAAGAATATTCAAGATGCCTATATTGTTTAGTGTCGTTGCCCGAGGTACAGTGCTTCTAGCTAAATATGCGTCGTGTGCTGGAAATTTCACAGAAGTTACGGAACAACTTCTGTCGAAGATACCTCCACATGATGATAAGTTGACATACTCTCACGGAAATTTTCTGTTTCATTACATTGCGGAAAACAAATTGGTTTATTTCTGCATCACTGATGATGTAAGTATAGTTTGTTTGTGCCTAATCTCTAATGTTCATATTTCTGGACTTGTAGCTTAAGTTTTTAATTAATATTTCTTCAGAAATTCCAACGTTCGAGAGCATTCTTATTCCTTAATGAGATCAAGAGGAGATTTACGACCGCGTTTGGCGACACAGCCCAGACAGCCATACCTTATGCCATGAATGGTGAATTTGCCCGAGTGCTAGCAACCGAGATGAAACACTACAGTGATTCTAAAGACTTAGACACCATATCTAGAGTCCACGGAGAGTTGGATGAACTCAAGAACATAATGGTCAAAAATATTGGTAAGTAGATAGTATTCAACTAATTGTAATTGTATTAAACAACTTGTGTCCAATTTTGTTTTCTAATTGGATATGTTTGACTCTTAAACCAATTTTAATTCATCTCAATCTCAATGATATATATAAGTTTGAGACAAAACATGAATATTAATATTCAGTGTGTTTTCTAGTAGGTAAAACCTTGACAGAAATAGATTTAATTAGCTAAAAATCTATACATTTTTAATGGCAATAGAGTTACAAACCTAGTTGAATTCTAATAGATATATTTAAGTGTAAATACTAATAAATTAATGGTGTTTTATAACCATTAATAAATTATATTTGACCTATTAAAGTTAATGACCCTAATTTGTATGTTTTGAAAACAATCAATTAATTTTTCTTCTGGTACTGATAATAATAGTTTGTTTCATTATTTGTAAAAATCATGTTATCAGCCCTTATCTCTGTTTGCGTGCATTACACCTAGCTGTGGTGTGTCATTAGCATCATAACATATGTGATGTAGTGCAGAGGTTTATTTAGTCATAAGTATGATCAACATATACACGCCTAGATTTAATTATGTGTGGAATTATTCATTATTTGTTTACTTTACATGACAGACCAATGCTACACATTCATGCATAAATTACGTTCAATTAATTACTATCTTGCACAGATATTTCAGTTTAATTCTGTATACATCATTGAAATTTACCTACTTGAAAACTTGAAAATGTTGAAAAGGATACAAAATAAGTAAATTACAACAATGAAATCTTATTCTGCTTTGACCTACTGTTTCCTATCTTAGTACAGATTTCTATTCACACAATAGATAAACAATGAATCATATCATATGAATTGTATTCAAGAATGTTATTTAATGTGCATAGGTATTGTGTATGTATCGCTTATCTTGTTAAAACCCTGATATATATTTTTTTGCATGTTAAAACCCATAGAAAACAAAATGCAGAATTTGTTAAAAATGACAATGACTATGGTAGATACCAAGGTAATAAGTACTTAACATAGCCTTGGATATATTATAATAGTTTAATGGATGCAACAAATTGCACCTTTGAAGAGGCATTGAAGGCCTCACACTAATTTCATGTAATGATTTAGTCATGTTTACATGATCTTAGATTAATGTAATTATGAAAGAAACTTCATTACTTCGTTTGAATAATAATAAATAATTGTTTGCATTGAATGTTTGAAACCATAATAAAATGGCAATATAAAATAGCAAATTTATTATTATGCTGTTGTTCTTAACAAATATTTAAATAAACAATTGTGTTATTTGCTCGAAACAAAGAAAGTCTCATTTGCAGTGATTTGATATAGTTATAATTATGCATACACAGTACACAGATGTAGCGTCCATGTTTAATTAGGATGGGTGATTTTTTTGGTAGATAAGTGTTTTTGTTTTTACCCGCCCGATCACACTACTGAAGCATCACATCTTTTTCTTCTAAAGTTTATGTATAAACAATTAATTAGTGCTTAGTTCATGTTATAGAAACACTCATTGGTTCTCAATTAAAACACTAATCATGCAGATTAACTCCCGTAAATAAAATAAAAAAGTTTAAAACATAATGTAGGTAGTTAATTAGAAAAAAGTTGCTTTATTTTATTCTATTTTCTATTTAGTTGGTTAAGAGTTGTTAAATTAATGAACTACTTTAATTGATTACAGATACTATGGCGATGCGCGGGGAGAAATTAGAATTACTAGTGAATAAGGCAGACAATTTAGCAACTGGTGTAAGTATTTAAGTTATCAATTAGTTTATCAGCATGAACACTTAGAAACAAACATTTAATCACTTTCCTGTTTTGAAATAATATCAAACGATAGGTATCTATGTAAAAAAGCAACATAAAATATATTGTTTGTCACAGACTACCTCATTGATATGTATCTCCTAACTATTGAATGCAAGGACATTTTATCATTAACTGGTTTATATGAGAAGAAACTAATTTACATAATTTTAACCAATAAGAGGAAAGATTGTAATACTGATGAGATTTGCTTCATAAAAAGAAAACAAATGATATTTTAATAAGTAAATTATTGCTGTTTCAGTCCGTCTCCTACCGCAACACATCGAGAACACTGCAGCGGTCCCTGTTCTGGAAGAATGTGAAAATGTATGTCATAATGGGAGGAGTCGCAGCCCTAGCGGTTTACCTGGTCGGAGCAATGGCTTGCGGTGGCCTCAAGTGGGGCAACTGCGTCTAATCTACACATAAACATGTATATACATTTATAATACTAGAACAACACATCAATGGTACCACTCGCCATTCATATCTCTATTTTGTACCTCATAAGAGCGATATTCGAAATGCTAGTTGTACCATTGACGTACGACAATCAAACGTATCAACATTAAAAACGACATTAAAATAATTCCGATATACTTGTGAAACGTTATTGTTCTATGACTAGTGTCGAATATTTCCCGTATCATAGTTTTAAATTTTTAACCGGGGTATCTATATAAATAGTGTGGACGTGGTTTTAAGTCATGGTTTATTTATTGTAAAGAACAAGGTTTAAAATAGCTGCGTCATTCTTTTTGCCAATTTGTATCAATGTAATTTTTCGACCGACTACAAAAACTGATATCTATCAGTTTTTATTGCCCTGAAATCACTACTGTATTTATCAGTAAGGTCACTCTTCTCGTCCTTACTAGAATATTTCACATTATGTAATCGCGTCAGTTATTTGTAATCTGATATTACACATGTATGTTTAGAGATAGTCCAGTAGGTAAACCATTATCCAAATTTATGGCAGTCACAACCCATTTATGGTCCATTTAATCTTTATCTAAAATTATTAGAGATAAACATTTGATAAGAACCTTGCAAATACATTAATTTTCATGGCATACAACAAAATTAAAAATAAACAAGGTCGTCGTCCTTTTGCGTTATACAGCTTTTGGCTGCGTCATTCGAGTTATTGATTTTGAATTCAATATTTTTAATTTAAATAATGCGTTCCGAGAATCTGTAATAATATTTTTTTAATAATAATTTGGGAGCAAAACAACAGCTGGATCTCATAAGAATTTTACGTAAGTTGTGTGGAATTCCTTAAGTTCTTCAAAAGGAATTAAGAAGACTGGCTGGTTAGAAGTTTGTTTGCGCGGGAAGAAAGACTTACGCCCGAATACTAAAGGCTACTCAAATTTAAGTCGCGCTTAAGTACATATGGTTCTGTCACTACAAATTCTTTGTAAAAAATGACAGAGATAGCACGATATTAAAAATAATTTTTTGAAGGATACAAGAAAACGAATGAAAATAGGCAGAATGCAAAATACACACAGCCGTTTTCTAATTAAATCATTCTGTTCAATGGTTCCAAAACACATGCTGTACATGTACTTATAATATTGTTAAGATATGAAAAAAATATCGGTATTTTTAATGCCATTTTCGGTTATAACAATTTTGCCAAACATCTGTTTAAATATAAATAATTTATTAATATATTCAATGAATTATATTTACATTGTTATTCAGCATTTTTTTTTCTTTAAGTCTTGTTGCTTGCCCGTCTATATTTATGGTTTTATCTCGTTTACTTGAAGGTCATATTTTTTTAGGACATTTCCTGAATTCTTCTAAAAAAGCGCTGTGACGGATAACGCGCTCTCCGAACTTTGTTTTTTTTTATTATTCCGAATTTGAAAATTATTCAGCCTATTAGGAAGTTATTTATAGAACGTAATTTTAAACCAGTGTTAGAATTTTTTCCATGATCCTTATAACATGTCATGTTGAAAGTAATTATTGGGAAAGTTGGTCTTTGCACTGTTGAGTGGGTGCAGCCCAATTCACTGTTTGTTCACACATGTTTTAGTATAAATATAAGTACCCAAATATTTATTAATTTTAAATTCCAGTTTGATTCTGCCTAAATATCTTTGGGCTTACTAAAACTGACTATTGTCTTAGAAAACTAAAATATAATAATCTGACGAAGACTAGGGTTTTATCTGTCTTATTTTGTGTTGTATTAAATTCTTTATAGTAAAATATTATTATTTTAGAATAAGATCATACCAAAATATTGAAAAAATCAAATATGCATGAAAATTTATAACTTAAGGTCCCTATATTAAATACCAATTGTCGTTGATTTTTGATAATGATAAAAAATGTTAGTATTGTACTAGGTTAATATATTAGGTAATATTTATGATTAATGCCACACCTGTGTGATATCTGCAGAAATAAAAACTATATTCCTGTTAAATTAATTATGTTATACGGCTTAATCACGGTTTGACGAGGTAACTGGACTGGTTGCAAGCTACGCTAGGGGCTTATATTTATTGTTCGACACACGATGTTGCTAATGTCGCGCAGCCAATAGACAGTTACCACGCCAAGTGAACCGTTAACCAGTAAACATAGTTAATCTAATATGTCTCAGTAAAATTATAATACAAAAATGTTTTCATGTTATTTCCTAGATAAAAACTTTTTCTGATATTCGCCACTCTATTTAAAATTCCAGAAATCCAAGGATATTAAATTGAATATATTTCCATCCAAGAAAACAATAATTAAAATACTTATTAGAGCTATTGTATTGTAAACACAACTGATATTAATCAAGGCATGCGTTTAACATGATTATGTCTATGTAAAAGAACTATTATAAAATATAAACTCAGCTTGTATCTCGAGTCTAGCATAGTGTTCCGTATACTACACCAAACATGTAAACACTTGTTTTAATAAAGACTAAAAGTATTGTGATATTGAGTGTATAATTGAATTATGTAAGTATAATAATTTGTTTGATATGTATAGAGATATGTTATAAACTTTATAGGCTAATCTCATTGTTTCATTTTCAATAAAGCACCGTTCGCGTGTCGGACGGTGGTAATCCCATCTAGTTCCTGTTTCGATAATGTAGTCAATGGCACCGCTTCCCGAATATCGGGTGGCGGGTGGTCGTGTGAGATTGATCCCGCAGTTGGCCGGTGCGAGGGTGCATCCCCCGCCCTTCCCGCGGCTCGTGCGTTCGCGGCGAGCGGCAATCGCGCGCCAACCTCTGCCGCGGGAGGGCGCCGCCGACGCCCGTCGCGTTCCTATATCACGCACGTGCTTGCTACTACAACGTTATCGTGTATCGGTGTGAGTGACTGCCCGTTGAATTATTCCGTGTCAATACGCCTCCGCCTCTGCCGGTGCGATGCGTGTCTAGCATACGTATCGCACGATTGGTTGTCGTGTGTAAATGAATATGTTTGTTCTTGGGCATTATTGTTGTTCCCGAGGGATCGGCGGCGATTGATATCGCTCACGGATGTGGTATTAATATTAATTTTGAACGTGCCTTATCATTATTATTGAATATACTAAAACGGAACTCTTGTTCGGCGCAAGATTCTCAGCCGTTCTTATTAGATTCTATTATACTTCATATCCTTTTGAATTGTTGTCAATATTGTAAGAAGCGCGCGTAACACACAAGAACCCCTCGTTCAAGGATAATTTATATTAATATTTATTAATCCGGTCTGAACGCATTTGTTATGATGGCTGTTTGTACTTTATTGTACTGTACCGTTGACCAAAATGAGAGTGAAGATAATATATTACCGGAGATACATATTCATAACATACCTGCCGTACAAAGCGTCGACGTTTGATTGATAGCACCTACTTTTAGCTGTTTCGGCGGTTGTATAAGTAATTGAAAAGAAGCCGAATGCGAATACGACTCGCCGCTGGGTAGGCTGACGCACACACAGCTAGTGGTATGCCAGTGTGCGTCGGTTATTAGTGGCACAGGAAGCGGTGTCGATTTTAGGGAAGGTTACATTAGGAACGGTTCACAGGTCATTGTTCTTTTTACATAGAACCGACCTTTTTTGTAGTGCGACAAGATAAATTGCTATTGTTTGTGTGTGAGCCTTTTTTGTACGCACGATGAAGATAGGGAATATCTTCATCATCTACTGAGCTTTCTGAATGCGTCTTTTTGTTTTGTAATTTAAGTGACAATAATGTAATGCTCAAGAACAAAATATCATTTGATTTCAAGTTCAGCGTTCGAAAATGGGTTAACCGGGCTTTTTGGGATGTCGCTCAAAATTGAAAAGCGATGGTTCTGACTGACTCTTTATTGTGAAAGATGAAGGAATAGAACAGTGTGACAAAATGGATGACAGTTCACCGGACTTGTCGCTGAAATTGCGACGAGGGTCCAGCGACTCTCGCGAGTCGTTTTACATGGACTTCGCGCAAGGTATCGACTCGGACATCGAAGAGGTGACGACGATTGAGCGTGTGATTCCTGAGCATCCGGGAGGGAGGACGGAGGGTGATGCCGACACTCTGGCGACGCCGTCTGGTCTAGAGGAGAACAAGGAGTTGGGACAATGGTGCGTTTGTGTTTTGTTTTCATTATATTCTACAAATTGGTTGCAATTTTTGACAGCTAATCAATCATTTTAGTCAAATTTGGAAAGTTTTCTTTTGTTGAACTCTGATTTTTGTGATGTATCATTCTTGAACCACTTTTTTGCGTTGTTTGTTTTCTGACGCTTTTTTGTTACTTATTCAACATAAAAAAAGTTATTGGTTGGCTCCAAAGACCCTGATTCAACATGCAGGATGTGTCCACGTAATTAACATCTCACCTGCATTCAACACATTGAGCAATGTGAACCATTGTTCACATTGCTCAATGTGCAACGTGTAAACGGGTAAAAGTAGCCTTTGAATAAACACTAGTTGACACGATTTGACGCGAACAATCATCATTAATTGCCTATAAACTGTTAATCGGCATGAGTTTATTTTTAAGTCACCTTCCTTACTGGAAGGTGCTCTTGGTCATCTAGGTTGGTATTACAAATTGGATAATAAGATAGGTTTATTTCATTACTTTTTCAAGGAAAGGTAAAGGTTTGTATCCAGATATGTAAGAGCGTTTCGTATATGAGATGTAGATAAGTACATCGTTATTGGTTGGTACATAATAAAACACCTATTTGGTATGCGTGCAACATTTTGCACAGCCCTAATTCATATAATTTTGTGAATTTTGTCCCAATTTTCGACAGCGAAATAACATGATCGGGTTGTTACACACATTTACATAATCATGATTGACTTTCCTCTATGTGCTTCCTTCAAATACACGTGTAAGCATCTTAATAGATGTAGGGTGACATTTGAAGTTTTGCAGAAATCTGCGTGATGGATGCGTCTTAAGACCTAACAAGGAAGAATTTGATGAATCTCGTAGGCTTAACTTTTTTGGTTTAATTGACATAATATTTTCTTAGGGGACTAAGAAGGTAAGTCGGCACGTGTTAAGTAAGACTACCTAACTAATTTAGATTTGTCTAGGTAACGGCAATTACCGAAACACAAAAGAAAGAATCAGGATAACTCCTTAAAAAAAATCTGTTCTAAAAGGGAAAAATTATACTTACGTTTTCGTATATTTTTGCTGTTATGAAGTATGATTAATGAGAGAATATTATTTATTTTATTCATACTGACATAATTTATACAACTTAAAAAGTATAAAAAAATAATTTTAAACTAAAATATTTACACCTTAATAAAAAAATAATAAAAATTAACTAACAATTTCAGCGACAATTAATTAAATAATAAATGTTCTAAAATAGTGATATTAGTCCGACTTAGTCCCTAATTCATAATTACAGCATCGGAACTTTGAGACCAATTTCTCTCTTCGAACTAACTTGCTAAATGGCTGTTCATACGTAAGTACAACATAGTTTTAGTGAGTACATTCCCCAAACAAAGCAGTGCAGTGGGAAACCCGAGACGGTTTGTCTTTACACAGATACCGACCGCCAGACGTCTAGCCTAGGACCGTCTACTTCAATCTCGCTCGCAATAATTATGAGATTCACTTAATCTACGGAACCAGGCCAGTTAATCTAAGTTGAGATAAATTCTATTAAGTTCACGGCTTGATTAATAAAAGTCGTTAAAAGAATAACTAACTAAGTAGGGCCGTGAAGTTACTTATCTTTGTAGGTGTTAGAACTTATTTGTGAACAGCTCCTGATTCTCGAAGTCAGAATTTGGAAGTAATAAACTATCCAATCCTGAACCGTGTCTTCGTGTAGGTTTTATCCAAAAATGGCTAATTTAGACATGGCTTATTAAATAATGATGCCCCAAATAGACGGATAACCAATGTGTTTCGTCTATTTTGTTCACCACTTCAAATAAATTGGAAACAATGCATGTAAAACTAATAAACTAAGTATTGTAGACAAAACCCATATCTCACCAACAATTTACGTATCCCAATAAATTATATTATATTATGTTTCGATGGCGACACTTAAATCATTTCGTCTGTCCAATTCCATCGGTATATTTTAGAGTTGTGTTTGATTTGTGTGCGCTACATTTGATTTTCATACATTTTTAACTAGCCTGTGACACCCGCAACACTGGGGAGCATAAAATGATGCTCTATTTATTCAAATTGCTCTGAGGGTTACCCACGTATTACCTATCCATAGCACCATATGTGTTCAAAATTGGTTATAGGTAAGATAGGTGGTCTGTAGATAGCGTATTTAATACTTACCCCTTTTTACCAATTTCGAATTTTCTCTTTATAAATAGCATGTATGAGTCGTTTTACGTCTCAGTCGTTTTACGTCTCATACATCATACATACGTAATTCTATCTCTAGAAAGCAAATCTACAGATAGATAGGTTATAGAAACTGGACGTTAGTATCCTTATTCATAGGTAGATTGATTTTTACACTTCTAACACTTGTACATACGTGGATGTTTCTCTTCCTCATGAAATATCAACGATGAACTTATTTTTCTGAGAATAGGTACCTACTTACCTATTCTTTCCCAATCTATGCTTCACTTCTTTCAAAATAAACCCTTCGAACAAAATCACTCACTTGTCCTCGATTTTTAACATCTATTCCAGTTAGGTAAACACAATTGGCGAATGGAGGAAAAGGGCCGAATTTCTTGGGTCAATCGTATTACGGGTACGTAGTAAAGTACAAAGAAATGAAGCGGAACATGAATGTGTGTCAACGGGACCCGTCAGACGGGTCGCTATGGGCTTTCTCTTGAACACCCCGGGGTCAGATAACAGACCACATGTCGTGCGGTTGCGCACCCGGCCTGACTAACGTCTGTCAAGCTTCGTTCTAAGAAGCTGCCAGTTGCCCAATTGTGTAACTTGTTATCTGTTTAATTGAATTGCTTTTCGATTGTTTGTTTTTATTATTTTATTAGTTGCGGTTGTAAATTTTGAGGATCATCTTTATGTTTAAATGTTTTGAATTGTTTAGATGAGGCTCTGAATTTGAAAATGTAGTGATCTACTTACACATTGTTCGTTGAAAGGCGGCAAAGTGTTGTCAAAATCAGTCCGTAAATTATAAAATTAATCATGTGCTTACTTTCTATATACTAGGAAAACCTTCATAAAATGTAGCCGTAGGAATTGGCGCCACCACCATGTTTGGCATCAAATTACCGACGTAACGGGAATATATGAACTGCTTGAGTATTACGTGTGCCGTGCCGACAATGGTGGAGGATATGAGTAGGTACCAGTCGTATATAGTTCTGAAAGACTTATAAAGTTGACTCATTTTGAAGAGAATAAAAGATGACAAATCTCGTCATTCTTAGCTTTATTCTCAGAACGACAACTTGAACAGGGCAAACGTCTACTTTTCCAATTTGTCTAGGAAATAAAAATAAAGCATCTTTATTAGTTCTTTCGAGAGACGTTAAATTTTACAAGCTTTGTGCCGCCTCCAGTTCTCTCCGACACCCGCCCCTCGCCGTCTCCCCACAGAATCACGCCTGTCCTCAGATCCACAGCGTACAATACTTTAACACTTCCATTCCCACTTTTCGTACGGAACCGTAATAAAGATACAATGCTCGAAAATAGACCACCGTCGTCGGAATTAAAAAGCGTGAATGGCGTCCCTTTAATGACTTTTTTACCGTCACTCGAACTGAATAATTTTGTCGTTTCGTTCCAATCATTCGTGAAGGGTTTTATTAGGGAGTCATTCCATTTTATTTTCATGCTGTCGAATAGATAGGTTCGTCTAACTACCAATTTGGAGTGTATGTCCTCGTTATATGGAAGAGGGACGATTTAATGAACCTTAGTTGCGTCCGTTAACTGAAAAGTTGCAGAGTTTCAAATTGCAATTAGGTCTCATGGTGTTTTGAATTTGTAAACTTACATAAAAAGTATAGTAGAGGCAGATACATTTTAATAACAAATCATTATAATTACTGTCAAATCGAGAACACAAAATGAGGTGCTCTAGAACGCCCAGACAACAAGTCCATACAAAATGTATTGCATTCATAAAATGCATCAATATTAGCATGCAGTAACTAAAGTACCTATATAGATCTAGGTAATATAGACACCCCTTTGTCATTTCGCAGTTACAGGCTAACATACCGCTTAACCACGACACACACTCAGTTGTCAGTTACCCGTCGGATGTCGTATACTGATATTATAGTGAATGACTTTATGCGGACATTGGGTTTCGCAGCTCAGTGGATCACTGTCGTTGTACCTGTTTACCATTCATTTGTGATCTATGTATAAGTACTAACCTACGTATATTGTATGTGAACATATGGTATTTGCGAATAAATGATCTCTCGTAGGCGGTATTTCCGAACCGATACGTCTTTCAAACCTTCAAGAAGAGCGTATTCCTTTTTAAAAGGCCGGCAACACACCTGTGTCTCCTTTGGTGTTGTGTTGGTGTTACGGGTGTCCATGGGCGGCGCTGATCGCTTACCATCAGGTGATCCGTTGCTCGTTTGCCTTATATTCCATAAAAAAAATCTCGGGGATGGTCGGTCTAATTCATTAAACAATTGTTAGGTACTATAAAGTAGAAAGGTAAAAAAAACTGGAGCAATGATTAAGTTTCATTCTATCAAAGGCAATTTAGGGTAATCTTACATCATCATCACACGTTAGAATACACCCATTGCTGCACGAACAAACATCATCCCTCGAGATGTTACTTTTTGTACCAACTAGATATTCCACATGCAGGTTTCGAAGTAACCTTTAGTATCAACTATCAATTTCATGAAATAAAAAGAGACTAAAACATAACCGCGATATAGTGCCGCATACAGAAACTCTGCTAACATTTCTAAAGAAAGATTTTCTGTTGACAACAATGGACAAAATTCCTTATCTTTGTCTACAGTTAATACAATTATTCTCCCTACAAACTTGTTAGAAATGTTTCGTTACTATTTGTGGTCGTTCTTCCACTAATAGCACATAGTTCCCTCAGTACTAGTCTCTATTTGCGGCTTCACCCGCATTGTACGTGTTATCGAC